TTGAAACTTTGGACATTTCCCTCTCCCAGGTCTTCTGCTTCTCTCACAAAGGGCTTGCTAGAAGCCCAGACCCCACCTGCACGCATTTTACTTAGGTAGCAAATTGTCACATGTACCCCACAACTCTGAGATAAAAATAAAAGTCAAAAACCGAAAACCAAAAATCAAACCAAACCAAACAAAAATACCAAGGGCTCCTCCGCCTCCCCAGAGTCCACTTTTGCACCCCAAAGATTTCAGGAAACAAAGGCTTCACTGCCCAACTTCTGGGGGTGAAGAAGAGAGACAATATCCTGGTAAGTTCCCACACAGCATTTGTCACCTGCAGTGGCTAAGGAGGAGTGGCTATCGCATTTTTCCTCTGTAACAACAGAGGAAACTGAGGCACGCAGGGGAATTATGAGTCTTCTTCAAGGTTACACAGTGTATTAGAGAGGAAGTGGATCTGTTTAGTTGAAAGAATCTTTTCCACAGTTGTTAGTCAGGAGTGCTGTGAGTCTATAGAGAAATTTCCAATACCCATTCTGTTTATGTGCTTTCTAATATGGACTCCTCTGAGGTGACTGAGTCTCGATGCAACATGAGATATGTGGGCAAATGTTGAGAGGCTCCTGGAGGTCTTCTCTAAACCATCTAATATGGTGGTATCCAAGCTGGGTTTCATGGAACCCTGGGCTCAGGGCTAATGTATTAGGGCTTTTGTTCAGGCTTAATGTACCCTAAATATCACCTCCATTTAGCAAGAAAGTTTTCTTGTTTAAGAAGTCTGAGGACCTACCACCCAAAGGGCCCACAGCTGGAGTTCAGGGCTCATACAGGTATTTGTGAAGACAGAGAACAGGAACCTACTGGTTGTTTTCCTTCCTTCCAACTTTATTTTATTATAAAGGTGTGGGGAACAAGTACATATGTAATGTATGTGCGGGTGAAATTTGGGCCTCCAACTGGTCCTCGCTTCCCCTGGTTTAGGATCAGGTACCCTTTGTGTTGTTATGTGTCCCCTCTCCCTCCTTCCCCTGGCAGTGTCCCACAACGGTTGATCCCTCCCTTGTGCTATTGTGATTAACACTTCTTTATGCCAGCGTTTTATTGCCGCACTATTCACAATAGCAAAAACATGGAACCAATCCCACTGCCAATTAAAAGTAGATTGGAGAAAGAAAATGTGTTTTTTTCTTTTCTGATAGCACTCAATACCTCCACACGGTATCAGTGAGATACAAGGAAATGGAAAAATGTTAATGCAAGCGAGGGCCAAGGGCCTGCTTTTCCAGCTGTCATTTTCAGGACTCAAGAGCCTGCAGAGGCAGGGAGAATAAAGCAGTAAAAGGGATGAAACAGCAATGAAAGTTGTCCCGCAGGCCACTGAGGGAGTCTGGGATAGCAGAAGGGGAAGGAAGGGAGGCAGAAAGGTCACATTTGTGTGAGAAAATAATGAAAACAAATATAGAGATACCAAATGTAGAAGCAAAAAAAAAAAAAAAAAAAAAAGAAATCTTATAAGTGAATATAGAACATTTTAATGATTTCAGATGATAGATATGGCAAAATGTTTTAACTTCTCATGCCTACAACTAAAAGATGAGTTTTCAAATGAAAGACCCCTCTTTTCCTTACTTTTCTGAGCTTGGGACTGAAAAGAAAACTTTCCCAGAGCTTAAAAGTAAAATACTCTGTAAGCACCTCATTTCTGTGGCTCCCAGAAATGTCTGGTCCAGCCCCTGCTACCCCAGCTAACTCTGGGGCAGCCACTCTCTCTGACGATCCTGGCTTTCTCCTACTGGTGTGAGCCTGAGCTCAGGAGAGGCCTGCACTTTGGCTGCGGCTGGGGCTGGAGGGGTGAAAGTTTCAAGGCTGAGTAGGGCTGGGGAGGGAAAAGTGGGGTGTGCTGGATGAAGCTTAGTGGTTTCACCAAGTGAAAACCACTTAGTGAAGACACATCAGGCAATAGACCCTGATTTCACCGCTTATTTGTATGACGTTGGGCAAATTGCTTCACCTTCTGAGCCCGTTTTCCCCCTTTGTAAAATGAGAAGGTAAGCTGTTCCTGCCCTCTATGGGTGGATGTGAGAATTGCACAAAGGGATATCCAAACTGCATGTCACTATCGTTAGGGACTGCCTGTCACTAAGACAAAAAAGCATCCTCAGCATTTGGCCATTGAAAGTGGGGGCCTTCTGTGGTTCCATTGCCTCTAGATATTTCTTTGCTTTCTGGTGTTTTCTTCTCCCCTCCAAAATATAGACCTGGAAAGAGACAAAGAGCTCATGATAAGACGGGATGTGTCAGGAAGTTTGGTGCCTGGGTCAATGAGAAAGGAGTTGAAACCAACAGTGAAGTGAGGTTTCCAAGCCAATCTCTGAGGATGCTCATGATCAGCCGCTCCCCACACCACTGGGAGAGTGAGCTCGAGTCTTGGCACTGAGGAGAGGCACATTTAGACCTGAAAGTTGCATTCCCTCTTCATAATACAGAAAATAGTCACCTGCTTGGAGACAGCAGGTTGGAGAGGATGCTGCTGGACTGTACACAAATCCATATAACCCTTTCACTTAAAAAGTCACATAAAAAAACAAAAAATGTAGGCTGGGCTATAATCCCAGCACTTTGGGAGGCAGAGGTGAGAGGATTGCCTGGGCCCACGGTTCGAGACCAACCTGGGCAACTTGATGAGACCTCATATCTACAATAAATCACAAAATTAGCCAGGCGTGGTGGTGCACGCCTGTAGTTCCAGCCACTTAGAAGGCTGAGGCGAAAGAATCACCTAAGCCTAGCAGGTCGAGGCTGCGCTGGCCGTGAGTGTGCCACTGCACTCCAGCCTGGGCCACAGAGTGAGACTCCAACTCAAAAAAAAAAAAAAAAGAAAAGAAAAGCGATGACCACATCTAGTGTAGACAAGAAATCAAATGTTGAAGGTCACATACTCATTTACAGTTTCATCATAGGAAGTCAGATGACCTTTTGTACCCAATTTAAAAAATGTCCTTATGTTGTTCTTTGGCACGGGAGCATTTCAGGCTTTCTTGTTACACTCGTTTGTTCCTTTGGAATGTGGCTGTGTAGTCACAGAAGAAATGCTCCTCTGAAAGTTATCACCAATGGAGAGAATTTGGTTAAAACCAGTCAATTTCTTTGAGTGTTTTCAGGAAACATCAGATGGCCATGAAAAGCGAAGAGGGTTGAAGTGGAGGTCCGACTGTGATAAATGAGGCTGAGCTGTCCGTGGCAGCAAACAGGTAAAATCTGACATCAAGGAGCATTATTTTAATGGAGGGCTCATCCTGATCTCAAAGACTCAATGAAGTTCTAAAATAATAGAGCCCAGGACTTCAGAGAAATGACCAACATGGAGTTTAACACAGTACACTTAGCACTGGTTTCTATAGAAAACATTTCAAATTAAGTTATTTAAGGTGTGAAGCAGGTTTCCCAAGTGCCTGAGCCATCTCTGAGCTTTAGACTTGGTCTCAGAGATTCAGCTGGTGGTTGGGCGGCTTCATCCACATTCACCTCTAATGACAGGCTAAAAGAGGAATTTCCAGATGGTAGCTTCTGGCCCAGGACCAGGGGAGCGGCCTCCAGGTGGCTCCTGGCATTACTGAGATCTCACTTCCCAGATGGCTTTGTTGGAAAATAAATCAACAGCTGACGTTTGTGGGCATCTGGGCTCAAGCCTGGCCCCCTGAGAGGTACACCCTAAGAAGTGAAAAATGGAATTGGAGCTTTTGCCTTACTCTTGCAACCCAAGCTCCTTGTGTGGCAGGAGAACTTTTATTTTAAAAAACATAAGAAAATATTACCTAATATTTCCCTTTACTTCTAGTACCTTCTCAACACCTCCCCCCCATCCCCCTAACAAACCAAAACAGAAAATGACAAGTCAGGCAGCTATTAACTGGCTCATGATTGTGTCTCAAGGCAAGGATGACACAGCAAAAAGCAGAAAGAAAAAAATGAGTCTATTATTGGCTTGTGATTTACAAAAGCCAGAGGCCTTTAGGGAAAAGACCAGGAGTTATATAAACACATACAACACATCCAGGAGAATGCTGGTAAGAGGGACGCTTCTCCTCACCCAGGTCAGCCCCTGGCTCCTGCGGTGGCAGCCAGTGGGAAGCTGTCAGATCCTGGACATGGTGGTCTTTGAGAATAGGTTGGCCCCTCTCTCTGACCAGTTGGGATAAAGATCTGAATCCTGGATGCTGGGAGGTGGTTTTATGAACAGAGAGAACCGTGTCCATTTCCTGAGTCCCAACCCAGCGTAGATGCCATTAAGACATGGGTCTGGGTTGAGAATGGGTTTCCCCACACCCTTGTGTCACCCATGTCTTCAAGAGGGACTTAAAGGTGGTTGAGGGAACCCTAGGAATGGAATGGGGCTTACGAGGGGCAGCAGTAACCCAAGTCAGTCAATACCAAGGCCAGATAGGCCAGCGATCACCTCGGCAGATGTCACTGTGGATGGATGACACAGATGCATGACAGAGGGCCACTGCTCTGACCCCTTGCTGCCAACTGCTACCAGGTAACCCCGTCCCTCCCAATCCCACCCTCAGACCTTGGCCTCCAGGGAAAAAGTGTGTGTATAGACTCTTTCATTTGGACAAGATGGAAACTAAAAGTGGGTCCATTAAGAAAAGACATTTTCATACCTGAGTTTGTGAAGCACTTGCAACACATGATTTTTACCTTTCTGTCTTCCCAACTGACTAAGCAGTGAGGCAGGTAAAAGTACAAGGACAGTTTATAGCCAAATACCGGGCAGATTCCACAGTCACAGAATCGCAGCTACATGTTGGACCTCAGAGCAGTCTCAGAGCACTGCCCTCTCTCTCCTGTCCACCCATTTTATAGAAATGGTAGTGAGACCCTTCTGGCTGGGAGCAATAGGGCAGTGTAAGAAAAGCGATGTGTCAGCAGTGGGTTTGAAATGAAGCAAGGATCCATGAGACTGGCAGTGAACATATGTGGTCTGTTAGTCTGGAATCGACATACTGGGCAAGCCAAGGATCCCATCTGTTCAGGGAGGACTGACTTTGGCTCACCCTGTCTGTACGGGACGAGCAGGCCTGTTCCACTTCAATCCTGACCGCCAGTCAATTTGTGGAACAGGTCCTCGTCGAGTGTTTCATTCTGGTCTTTGGAGCGAGTGGACAAGAAAATGTAGCCACCGATGTACTCATGCACAACTTTGCAATCTGCACTCAGGCAGGTAAACGCCATGGAGACGTTTTGGTCAAATTCAATCGCCACCTGAAAGAGGAAAGCATGGGTAAGCTTAAACCCTCACAAGGAATGAAGAGAAAGAAGCGCTCTCCTGGAGCTGAGAACCGCCGAGGTGGCCGGCAGATGGCTATCCCCCCAAAACGCATAGAAATGCACCACTTCAAGTACTTCCAGAAACATCTTTGCTCTCTTTGCGCCCTCTTGTGGTGTCATCTTTGCCACACACCCGGTAAAACAACTCGCAGCACACGTATAGTATTTTCTGCCTGTCACTTGGATATAAGAATTTCCCAAGCACTCCTTGTTTTGAGCGGCACGGTGCTTTGCAGAATCTTTAATGGAAATAAGATAATTTTCCTGCCACTACAAATATTTTCCTGGCTGAAAGTCATGAACTCTAAGCACTAGAATAGGTCCCCAATCTTTTTGGTATCAGGGACTGGTTTTGTGGAAGACAATTTTTCCAGGGACAGGGGGTGGGATAGCAGGGTGAGGGTGGGGTGGGGCAGGTGGTTTTGAGATAATTCAGGCACATAATATTTATTGTGCATTCTATTTCTATTATTATTACATTGTAATATATAATGAAATGATTATACAACTTACCATTTTAAAAAAAGGGGAAATGGAAGGAAGCAGTAAATAAAATAATGGGCGGGCCATGTGCGGACTAAAATAGATGTCAGATTCTGACTTAAAGCCTGCTACCAGATGCAGCTGTACATTTGAAGCACATCAACTCACTTGCCACTCACTGACAGGGTTTTGATATGCATCTGCAAGCAATTGATTTTTTATGGTCTCTGTGCAGGCAAACCTCCCTGCTAATGTTAATCTGTATTTGCAGCTGCCCCCCAGCGTTAGCCTTACCACCTCAGCTCCACCTCAGATCATCAGGCATTAGATTCCCATAAGAAGTGTGCCACCTAGATCCCTCGCGTGCACAGTACACACTCCTAATTCAACACTTTCATCCTCCTATGAGAATCTAATGCCATTGCTGATCTGACAGGAGCAGAGCTCAGGCAGCAATATGAATAATGGAGAGTGGCTGTAAGCACAGATGAAGCTTTGCTTGCTCACCTGCTTCACCTCCTGCTGTGTGGCTTGGTTCCTAACAGGCCATGGACCCATACAGGTCTGTGGGCTGGGGGTTGGGAACCTCTGCCCTAGAAGAAAGTCTCAGAGATTTCACTTTGGCTACCCACTTGGAATCACTTATAGAGCTCTAAAAATGACCGATGTCTAGCTCCTATTCCCAGAGATTCAGATTTAATTGGTCTTGGGTGTGGCCTGGGCAGTGGTATTTTAAAGCTCTCCAGGTGATCCTAATATGCATTAAGGTTTTAGAGCTACTGCATTAGGGGTCATCTAATCCCCGACCTTCATTTTACAAAGGAGTACCCAGGTGGCTATCAGCACTACTGAGGGGAATTCAGGGCTCTTAAAAAAATGTGTGAGTCCATTCAGCCCTTTGGCAAGTCATGTTGGTTCAGCCTCCAAAATACACTCCTAATTCAACACTTTCTTCCCAGCTCTGTTGCTAAAGTCTGCACTATGTCACCAGTCTGGTCTACTTAAAGAACTTCCTAACTGGTCTTCCCACATCCCCTGTTCTCCTTCTGTAGTACATCCTCCCCTTGTAGAAGCCAGACTGTTTTTAAGTAAAGACGAGATCATGTCATTTTTTTGCTTAGAATCATCCAGTAGTTTTTCATGACTACAAGGCCTGACCCTCCCTAATCCACTCACTCCAAGTTCCTCTACTCTCCCTCCTCATTCACTGTTCTTTCTGTACCTTGGACCCACCAAGCTCATTTCTATCACAGAAACTTTGCACTTGCTATTTCTTTGGTCTAGAATACGCGTTCTCTAGAGAGCATATTCTAGAAAATACATATTGTGTGGCATTCTCCTCCTTATTCAGGTCTCATTTCAAACACTGCCTCCTCAAGAAATCTTCCACGACCACAGAAGCTGAAGGCCTTCCACTTTGTACCACAGTACTCTATTTTATCTTCTTTATAGCCATATTTGGGACCTGACATTATCTTATATTTTTTTCATATTGCCTTGCTTACTAATCAATTGTAATTATAATGTTTAAGCTCCTTAAAAGCAAGTTCTTTCTTTTGCTTATTACTTATATTTCTAGTGCCAAGAACAGAGCTTCCTACATAATACATGCTAATAAATATTTGCTGATTAAAAAAAAAGTGTGAGTATCTACCATCCTTCTACATTGATGGCTTTGAACTAGAAAAATGAGAATGCTAAAGGAACAAGGGAAGAGAGATTCTGTATCAGCAACACCAGAATGTTCCAAATCAGCAGTAAAATGCTAAGGTGCCTCTAACTTCATCTAGAATTTCCCATGCTCTAGGATTGGCTTGAACTTAATTCCTAGTACCGGAGATGACAGGAGACTGTGACACAGGCTAAGGGTTTGAGGGCTCCTGATCTCAACAGGCTAAACTTTTCTCAGTCATCTTTGGGCACCTCACTTGCTTCTCCAGCAGTTCTTCCCTTTGAGACTGGAATGTTCTCCAGGTAAGTGATTGAGCCTTTTAGTCCTCAATCAGTTAGACTTCTTGGCTGCCAGTCAGATGAGGCCTTGTTTTGGATTCATTTTGCATAATAGTTACATCTTTAGTAGTTTCTGCTAAGTAATTATCAGCCTGAATCTTATATAATCCTATGCTGAGTCAATGAATACTAATCAAACTGCTCAGCAATTTTTGAGTCTGTATGGAAAATCTTCATGGAGACTAAGCCAACTTGTGGTGCTAATTCAAGAACATTTGGCCTGTACTTGTTAGGAACTTGCCCAGAATTGCATGTGATTATTTTAGCAGACAATTACCACATGTTTGTGGTTTCCTAGTTCTAAATTTATGGACATCTCTTAAAAATCCGAATAACCTGCATTTCTGAGGGAACACACATTTATAGGCTCAACATTGAACACTAACAACTTTCACTTTACCTGCCGGATTTCCCAATTTACATTCCACTGTTTCATATTTGCGAATCTCCATGTTGTAATTGGAATCCCAGTGACTGCATCAATTCTAATCAACCTATTATATGAAACTCCCAGAATGTCATCTTTCTTGTATCCTTTAAATCTGAAAAAGAACAACGTTAGCTAAAAGAAGCAACTGCTTCTTCTAATATGATGCTCATTTCCATATGACTTAAAGATAATACCAACATGTCTAAATCATTTCGGAAGAATGGATAATGAGGGATTTACTACAGGAGACAATTTTTATTGATACAGAAAATACAAAGAACAGAAGCCTGGGCACAGGGGCTCACGCCTGCAATCCTAGCACTTTGGAAGACTGAAGCAAGAGAATCACTTGAGTCCAGGAGTTCAAGACCAGCACAGGCAACATAAGGAGACAACATCTCTACAAAAAAAACAAAAGAAGAAGAAGAAGAAGAAAAATTAGCTAGGCATGGTGGAGTGAGCCTGTAGTCTCAGCTGCTTGAGGGGCTGAGGCAGAAGGATCACCTGAGACCAGAAGTTGAGGCTGTGGTGAGCCATGAGTGTGCCACTGCACTCCAGCTTGGGTGACAGAGTGAGACTCTAACTCAAACAAAAAAAAAGAAAAAAGAAAAAAGACAATACAAAGAATGGAGGGAACGAAGCCTTTCTTGCAGACCTCCTTTAAGTGAAATTGACATCAGAAGAAAGTAAAATAAGAGGAAGTCAAATCAATTCAAAATTAAGAGCAACTCTATGTGTCAGGCACCATCCTAGGTACTGGGGAGACAGTGGTGAACTAAACGGATAGAAAATTCCCAACCAGCTGTGGGAGAGGAACATAAGTGTGAAATACATATACCAGATAAGATCATGAAGGAAAATAAAGTACAGAAGGGGTACAGGGATTACTGGCCAGGAGATGGTTACAATTTAAAACAGGGAAATCAGGGAAGGTCAGTGAGAAGGCGATGTTTGATTGCAGAACTGATATGCATGAGGGAGGGAGCCATGTGGATATCTGTGAAAAGAATATGTTAGACAGAGGGCACGTCCACTTATTCATTTCTGCATGCTCAAGGACCTGCCAGGAGGCCCATGTGGCTGGCATAATAGAGGGGGGAGGAATGTGTTAGAGACTTAAGGTCTTGTAGGTTGTTGTAAGGCGTTTTACTCTGAGCGAGATAGAAAGCCTCCAGAGGGTTTTGAGAAGAGGCTTCTCAGAGTCTAGCTTAAGATTTTAAACAGATCCCTCTGGATGCTAAGTTAAAAACTTAGGGGCACAAGAATAGAGGCAGGAAGGTCAGGTAGCATGGTAGTAGTGATGGAGGTGGTAAGAAGTGGTCAGATTCTGTTATTAATTTTGGAAAACTTAAAAAGAAAAAGGGGTGGGTTCTATGTATATACTTTGAAGGTAGAGTCAGTAGGATTTGCTGATGAACAGCATGTCAGTGTGAGAGAAAGAGCAGAATCAAGAACAACTCCAAGAGATCTGACCCAAACATCTAGAGGGGAAAGCTGCCCTTTATTGAGATGCAGAAGGAAACAGGAGGAGCAGGTGTAAGGGGCAAGGTCAGGAATTTGGGACATGTTAAGATGGGATGCCCATTAGACAGCCAAAGGTCATTGGATTTATGAACATGCAGTTCAAGAGAGAGTTCTGGGCTCAAGATATACACTTATGGGTAATCAGCTTATACATGTATGAATGAAGCCAGAATGGCTGAACCCAAGAGGTGAGCATAGATTGAGAAGAGGAGTATTTTGGGAACTGAGGCTTGGGCATTCCAGTATTACAGAAGGTTGGAAAGATGAGAAAGGACCAGCAAAGAAAACCAAATGAACTGGCCACGAGAGAGGAGGGGAGACAAGAAAGTCAGCTGTCCTGGGAAGCAAGTGACCCAGGTTGTCAAGGAGGAGGGGGTGCCGAGAGGCTGCTGAGAGGTCACAAGGACTGAGAGCAGAATGAGGAGTTCAGCGGTGTGAAGGTCATGGGTGGCCAACAGGCAACCTGATGAGAGCAGATGGCGGGGGCGGGCAGTGGAGTGGGGGTCAGGGGAGAAATCATGACTGGAGTGGGTTCAAGAGAGAACGGGAGAAAGAAATTGGAGATAGTGGGTGGGGACAGCATGCTTAAGAAGTTCTGCTATGAAGAGGAGCCTTTAGCAACCAGAGGGGGAGGGGAGGAGGGGATGCTGATGTGAAATTGATGCAGAAGGAAAGGAAAATATAATTTGAGAAAAAAACATTTCTAGTTGAATAAACCCTTTTCCACATCATTCTTATCTCCTTCGTATTCTTATCTCCTTGATTGAAGTTTACTCTACTTTTCTGGAATTATTCCCATATCTTTTAACATCCATTCATTTCACCACCCTCATGCTTAATACCACAAGTTAACCCATGTCTTACTCCACTTGCTTCTCTCTAACATACGGGAATTCCCTGGGATGCTCTCCAGCATCCGGGGAGCCGTGAGGCAAAAGCCCAGGTTTCTCAGGTGTGGGCAGATCTCGACTCTGCCTGCTGGCCTTGGAAAAGGCAGATTTTCACTACCCTCAGGGCCGCTCCCTCAAGCTGCACCTCCATAAACAGATGCTGGAGGCAGAGGGAAGGAGTAACTGTCATGGGAAACCTGTTCAGGGCCCATAGCACACTTCACAACTCATCAGGCACTTTGCTTGCATTCTTCCACTGGATTCTCTCAACAAGGTGGGTCCACAATGCCCAATGAAACAACACAGAAGCTGAGACTTGGCGAGGTCAGTGACAGTGACAATGTCCAGGTCACACAGGAGCAGAGGCAGAGGTGGGACTGGGAGCTGGGCCTGGGTGGCTCAAGTGTTCATGTTTTCTCCAGTCTATAGGCCAAATTCCGGGTTACAGGTGAGTGTGTGTGTGCGTGTGTGCACATGCACTCATGTGCATGCACATAGTTAATGTCCAGCACAACTCCCTCCCACTACTCACGCTTTTGCTGGGTGCAGTAGAGCAGAAGAAGTTGCTTATTTGGGACAAACATTGGGGACCAATGTTAAATATGATGTTTCAGTGGATAAAAAAGTTTAAATAGATTTCTTTGCCATAAAAGGTAGGAGAAAACAAGTCTTTGGAAAAGGTCAGGAAAGCGAATGAAAACGGTACCTTCCCATAAACCAGCACTTTAAAATATAAACTCATCTTTCGTCAACAAATTAGAAAATGAGAAAGTGACGGAGAGTATTTGTGGCACTGCAGAATTAAGTGTAGATTTTGCTTAAACTTTTCCCCTTACCTTTTATTCTTCATTTATTCCACCAACTTCATGCTTAATACCACAAGCTAATGTCTTTGCTTAAATGTCAGTCTTCTTTACTGAACTAAAAAATATGTTTTGATTTACAAGCATGCTTATGGACACATTTTGGGAAACCATTCATTTTATACCATGGGGCAGTCATCAGGCTGGGTGGGGATTATGAATAGGGACACTGGGCCATATGCCAAGGCATGCCCCTGACTAGGAGGTGAACTTGGACAAGTCACCCAAGTGATTTTTCTATAGCTCAGGGTTCTCATCTGTAAAACAGAAGTGGGTAACAGATGGGCCCCCTGTGGATCCTGTAGATCCAGAAATCTTCAGAGACCAGTGGGAACAGGGTGGCTACCTCATGAAGCTGGGTGAAGATGAGACACAGCGTTTGTTCTAGAAACCTACACATTCTGCAAAGCCACGCTGTGAGGCACGGTGTGAGATGCACAACAGGGATGAAGCTGACAGGAAAGAAAGTCACAGATTTCATAAAATCAATAGGTGGTGTTCCTTCTCTGGCTTTGCAAATGAAGTCATCCTAAAAGATTTCCTTTCCCACATTTAGTTGTTTCAGGGTCATCCTTTTAAAATTTCCTTTCCCACATTTAGTTGTTTCAGGGTGCTGGCACTTAGAACTGAAGGTATGAAAAATTTTTATGAGCAACCAAAAGTGTTTGGGCCATTTGTGAAAGGGCAGTATTCTAAAATAAAAAGAGTTCTGGACTCGATACTACAAGAGAATAAGCTGTGCTCCCAGAAAGCTACTTAAAATTGAACAGAGCGTGAGAGAGGCAAGTGAACATGTAATCACCTGACAAGGTAGTAGGTGAGGCCGAATTCGGGTAGCGACTGCCACGCTTGAATGAACCGCAGCTTGGCTTCGACCAGAGGCATCTGAGCCACGTTGTGGTGGGCTTCCAGGATCCGGGCTGCCAGCTAAGCAGAAACGGGAGACATCAGACTCTCCTCATGCACTGACAGCTCTGTAATCGCCATGTTAGCCCCCAGAGCCCCAAGGAGAACAAGCAATGCAAGCCCCAACTGCATCTTTACAAAGACGTCCATTCTCATTCAATTATTCATTCTTGTCTCCCTCCCTCCCTCTCTCCTTCCCTTCCTTCTGCCTTTCTGATTCTCTTTCTTTTTCTTTCCCTCCCTCCCACTCTCTCATAAGGTTCATGCAGATGATGAGATTTGGGGTCTCTTTCTGAGGTTCATGAACAGAGTCAACAGACAACGGTTCTATTTTAATCAGTTTCTCTGTGCAAATTTTAGTCCACTTCTGTGGAAACACAATTTTAATTGGTGAGAATGAAACAATGTATTTTATTTTATTTTTTTTGAGTTGGAGTTTCACTCTGTTGCCCAGGCTAGGCTGGAGTGCAGTGGCACACTCACGGCCACCGCAGCGTCTACCCACTGGGCTCTGGTGATCCTTCTGCTTCAGCCTTCCAAGTAGCCAGAACTACAGGCGTGCATTACCACAACTGGCTAATTTTTTATTTTATTGTAGAGATGAGGTCTCGCCTAGTTGCCCGGGCTGGTCTCAAGCCCGTGGGCTCAGGCAATCCACTTGCCTCGGCCTCCCAAAGTGCGGGGATTACAGGCTGAGTCACCGAGCCTGGCCCAGAACTAAACAATTTTAAGTCCAATCTGGGAATATCATTATGTTCAGTCAGCAGTACAGTCACCTCTAGCAAAATTAACAGTAATTTCATAACTTGGTACATAGTCAAATTTCTCCATCAACTCATTTTTCATGATGATGGTCTAAGATGGAATTCTTCCTTTTATTTCAGAACATAAAGAATTCACTGCAGGCAACTGTCCCAACAAGATTAGCAGTACCTGTTTAGACTTGTGTCTTTTTGCACACCGGGGAGACACAAAACATTCTGGGTTCATGTCCATACTTTCGAGACTGGAGGGCACCTGAAATTCTGAGTTCCTGTTTTTCATCCTCAGAAATGAAAGGATGTTGAGGACCTCTGGCTGGTAGGAGCTGTCTGCCATGGTTTTGCCCTTCGATGCCAAGATGCAGGCAGCCATCCATCGGGCATATTGATTCTCCTGCAGCAAATATCAGAGGGCTGAGAAGCAAGTTCAAGGGCAAAGCCACCCTGCTACCAACAGAATAGGACTTGGACTTTTTTCCTCCATTGCAGTACAAAACCATCACCTTCCAAGCAAGGAAAGATGTGAAGTGGCACAGGCTCTGCATGGCTGCTAACCACCTAATGTAAGGCTTGATAATAGCCTTAGAGTCCTGTGTTGAGTTTCCAGGTGCTTAGGGGCTAGAATATCAGTTTTGATAAACTCCATGCAGGGAACTTTGAATTTAAAGATGATCTCAGGACGCAAATGAGCACCATGGAGCACAGATAGGTAAAACCCCAAACTATGAATACCAGGGCTTTCTTTGATACGTGTTCCCATCTTCATGTCATGTCACAGAGATGACAAAAGAAAATGATGAAAAAGTCATTAACTGATTTCCTATATTATTCAAACCTTGGTCTATCCTTAGTAAAGATTCTAATCCAAAGGTAGTGACCAGGGCCATTATGACCTCTGAACTAGTGAACAGTGGTTTCTATTGTTCCTTAACATCTGTGCTCATTTTTAACTTCAGGGAGTGAACAGGAATGGTCCCCAGAAACTGAGAAGATGCAGCTTAAGAGGGTAATTCTTCAGCGCAACAGGGGTTGTGGCACATTGAATTACTGGCCCCAATCTTCCCCCTCCCGGTTTTCCTACCCTTTGCTATGTCCCTTCCACCAGAGACAGAGTGCAACTCCAGTCTCCTGCCTTGGGGCTCAGTCACGTGATCTGCTTTGGCCAATGGAAAGCAAGTAATGTGACTACGATGCTAACTTCCAGCCAAAGCTTTAAGGAGGCCTCACATCTTGCCCTCTTACACTTCTGCCTTGACTGTGAGAAGAACTTCCCCCAGACACCTCAAGACCCAGAATAGATAAAATCAGCTCAATGTGTGGCAAGGTCTAGCCAAACCTGCATCTCAAAGCAGATATGACTGGCTGACACTGGCCTAGATCATCCAAACCCAAGCCTACCTGCAGATCCTTCAAAAACAAATGTTTATTGTTGAATGGTATTGTGATTTTGTTACACTGTGATTGTTTGTCACAAAGCAATAGCTGACAGACACAACAGAGCATGAATTTGAGAAAATGTCTTACAGATTTTGCTCTTGAGCTTAGTACTGGTGAAGGGAGGTAACTTTTTTTGTGGTTTTACTTACATGGTCACATCTCAAATTCACTTCATTCATACCATCAGCAACAGGGATTAGTAACTTGATTCCAAATTTTCTCCCTGCTACATTTACATCTGGTACCACTTCGCAGCCTGAAGGATAAAAGACAGGGACTAAACTGAGTTTGAGGAATCAGTTAGGTAAGTATTAGGTGTTCATCAAAAAAGAAAGAGTTGAACATAAGCCCCTTGGATGTATCTCTCTTCTGAAAATAAAGGAGACTATAATCTTAGCACTTTGGGAGGCCGAGGTGAGAGGATTGCCTGAGCCCATGGGTTCGAGACTAGCCAGAGCAACTTGGCAAGATCTCATCTCTACAATAAATCAAAAAACTAGCTGGGCATGGTGACACATGCCTGTAGTTCCAGCTACTTGGAAGGTTGAGGTGGAAGGATTGCCTGAGTCTGGCAGGTTGAGGTTGTGGTGGCCATGAGGATGCCACTGCACTCCAGACTGGGTGACAGAGTGAGACCCCGACTCAAAAAAAAGAAAAAAAAAAAAAAAGAAAAAGAAAAAAAAAAAAAATATATATATATAAAAATGAAGGAGCAAGTGAATAACATTAGTTCAAGGATAACTAAATAAGACTGATGAACAATTAACATGGATAAAAAATAATTTTCTTCTGGAATTTTCTTAAATCACAAAAATCCACTGAATTCATTTTTCAAGTTGGCATTGGCTATCCTAACTCACAGGAACAAATATGAATATGAAACTTAAAATAAATGAAAGCAGAAGGAATTCTCTGATTACCACAACAATGAGGGTTGAGCGCACTGGTTAGTTAAATGTTCCAATTCACACAGCATCATCACTTTACTCACAGTGACTTTCTAACATTAGAATAGGCTCTAAAGTGACACTGAATTCAATGCAGCTGTTCCTGAATTCAGAAATCTTTTCAGGATCTTACAGGCCTCATGCACTATAGACACCAATGACCACCACGTGGTAGACTCTGAACACACTGGGAGACCAGGGACAGCAGAACGTAGCTAACTGTCGTGACCAAACTACATTCAAGGTCCATGTTTCATGAGGAAGAGGAGTCTACTGTTCATGTGGACAACAGTGACAGATGGTGGTCCCTCTCAAGGGAAACCTTGCTCCATTTTGTTGGAACCTCACCCTTCATCAGCTTGCTGAGTCATGATGAGTCCTGTGCTGAGTTTTTAGAGGCTAACGGGCTAGAATGTCGACTTTGATACATTCCATGCAGGAAACTTTGCATTTAAAGATGACCCAAGGACCCAAAGCAAGAAGGAGAGTACTCTTACCTCTGAGGTTTAATTTTTCTACTGGTTCTCCTTGTTCAAGTTCCTTATTTTTAAAGTAGGATATAGATGTGTCTTTAAAGACAAACCAATATTGCTTCAAAGCTTTTAATATTAACTTCTTGGGCCTGCAAATTAGAGTAAATGTTTCAACAGCCATCCAGAAAAATAGAACACATTGCAACTTTCAAGTGGATCAAAATGCTCTAGAGACACTGTCCAACAGCAAACTCTATCCTAAAAAATAATTTTCAAATTGCTAACACTCCAGGCAGGGTAGCTTATACCTGTAATCTCAGTACTTTGAAAGACAGAGGTGAGAGGATTGCCTGAGACCAGGGGTTCGAGACCAGCCTGGGAAAACTTGGCGAGACCTTGCCTCTGCAATAAATCAGATAATTAGCCGGGTGTGGTGGTGTGTATCTGTAGTTCCAGCTACTTGGAGGGCTGAGGCAGAAGGATGGCCTGAGCCCAGCATGCTGAGGTTGCGGTAGCCATGAGCGTGCCACTACACTGCAGCCTGAGTGACAGAGTGAGATTCTGACTCAAAAAAATAAAAATATAAAAGAAACTGCTAACTCATTTCAAAAAACTAGAAAAGAGGTGTTGACATGCAATGTAGAATGTAATGCAAAGCCTCAGGTGTTAGACCCCCTAGGACCACACTTTGCCACTGCCTAAAAGTGCGCCCCGGGATACTCCACCTGCTTGGCTGTATGTACTGCCTCTCTGTGATGGAAACAGTCACAGTCTGGAATCCCAAGGTTTTTGTGAGGACACAGTGAGGTCATCTATGTGAGGTGCTTATCACAGTGCCTGGCACAACCGAAGTGCTCAACAACTGATGATGTATGTGAGAAATCTAAATCTGGTAACCTTTAAAAATCTCAGCATCATTCTTGGATCTGAAAAAGCTGTCAACAGAGACAGCATGAGCTTCAAGTTATCAGAAATAAAAGTGGCAACCTTTTTTTGTGGTGTCTTTTTGACTTTTAAGAGAAACCACCAGAGAATTTCCAATGTTCCATGGATCACCAATATCTACAGAAAATCGATATAAGCTCTACAGTTATTGAAACATATTTTGAAAGAAGATATCCAATTGTGGTATCTGTTTGGGCCAGAAAACTTTGTACTGGCACTATTGGCAGTGCCAATCAGAGGCCTAAATGTTGGGTCATTCAAAAAAGGAAATATGCCAGGTGTGGTGGCTCACACCTGTAATCCCAGACTTTAGGAGGCTGAGATGGGAGGATCACTTGAGGCCAGGAGCTCGAGATCAGCCTGGGCAACATAGCAAGATTTCGTCTCTACAAAAAATAAAAAAAAATTACCCAGGCATAGTGGCTCATGTCTGTAGTCCTAGCTACTCAGGAGGCTAAGGCAGAAGGATTGCCTGAGCCAAGGAAGTTGAGGCTATAGTGAGCCGCAATTGTGCCCCTCCACTCCAGCCTGAGTGACAGGGTGAGACTCACAACCCAAAAAGAAAAAAAAAAAGGAAATGTGTGAGAGAGAGAGCTGAGGGAAGAGAAGATCAATTATGAGTTGTATGTGGTTCGGTGGAACAATCCAGGCCTTGGGGTGGGTCAGGGTATTGCATGCCAGAGATGTGGACTTCTGCATTCAAGAGTGGGAGAGAGGAAGCCTGGTGTTTATACCACTCATATAATCTTGGGCAAGTTTTTTGACAAGTCAGTACTGGTATTTCCTTAGCTAAAAATGTTTTATCTTTAACAAGAAGATAAGGACGAAGGTACACATAAAAAATCTAGTGCGTTACAGGAGAATATTACATAAAAATTATGAAGTAAATTTGAAAAACATTATATGGAGTAAACACTTCCAGGATTAAGAAAAACCACTGAGGCCAGGCATGACAATGGCTCACACTTGTAATCCCAACATTTTGGGAGGCTGAGGCTAGAGGATTGTTTGAGCCCAGGAGTTTGAGACCAGTCTTGGCAACATAGTGAGACTTTGCCTCTTCAAAAAATGAAAAAAATTAGCTGGGTGTGGCTGGGTGTGCCTGTAGCCCCAGTTACTTGGGAGGCTGAGGTAGGAGGATTGCCTGAACCTAGGAGGTCGAGGCTGTGGTGAGCCATGATTGTGCCACTGTACTCCAGCCTAGGCGATAGAGTGAGACTCTGATTCAAAAAGAAGAAAAAAAATCATTGCGTTAAAATAGTATTTATCATATTGAGGGCTGTAGTTAATATAACTCTGAACATATGTAAAAGACTGTCTAATACTTAGATTCTTCAAAATAAATAGAATTTTAAAAATAAAATCTAAAGACAAGGCCTGTAACCAGTAGATGTAAATAGCAAAGTCTTGTCTCAATCTCCAGCATCTAAATATTTCCCTTAAGAATTAAGAATGAGACTATGTTTTTCCATTTTCCCTGGACCTTAATAGCATTGACATATTTCAGATTTCTTCTACATTCTCCTTTCGTTTAGTTCATCTTCCAGGTTGCTTTCAACACAATAATGAACCTAAAACTTATAGCTGCTTTTCTATGCTCCAGAGGCTGGGGGAGGGGCGGAGATGTTGGGTAGTAAAGGTTACATGAATGAACGAGACAGGCTCTCAATCTGAATGATTTTTTATTTAACAGAAAAATACTGTCTCCAAGTTTTAAAAGTGTGTAGATACTTTAAAAAAAAAAACATTTTATTGAGGTATGATTGGCATATAAAGAAATAAACACACTGAAAATCTTGATGAGTTTGGGGATAAGTACATACCTGTGAAACCATCATCAAAGCTATCATCACCCAAAATTTCCTTCCACTCCCTTTATCATCGTTATTATTATAATTTTTGGAAAGAATACTTAGCATAAGACCTTCCCTCTTAGCAAATGACCCTATACAGTATAATAGATTCATATCCTTTAATCATTATCTTCTGATTTTTCCCTTCCCTCTGCCCCTGTCCCTAGAAGCCACTTTTCTGTTCCCTACTTCTATGAGTTTGACTATTTTAGATTCCAGATATAAGTGAGATCATACAGTGTTTGTCTTTGTCTTTTTCTTTTTCTTTGTGAGTCAGGGTCTCACTCCATCACCCAGGCTGGAGTGCAGTGGCATGCTCATGGCTCACTGCAGCTTTAACCTCCTGGGCTCAGGCGATTCTTCCACCTCAGCCTCCTGAGTAGCTGGGACTACAGGCATGTAACACCACACCTGGCTAAGTTTTGATTTTTTTTTTTTTGTAGAGATGAGGTCTCGCTTTGTTGCCCAGGCTGGTCTCAAAATCCTGGGCTCAAGCAATCCTTCTGCCTCGGCCTCTCAAAGTGCTTGGATTACAGGCATGATCTACTGCACCTGGCCTCAGAATTTGTCTTTTTAATAGGCAGTATCATTACTGGCAACAATGTAACCACAGAAACACTTCCAATAACAGTTTTCAAAAGGGTTAGGATAATATCTTTTAAAAATTGATTATGTTCTCATTCATTTTATAGTAACCTTTTCTTTAAAGGACAGATTAAATGTGTTTATTATTTTGAAAACATCTAGGGCTTACTACTGATGGCCACTTGTCAAAACAGAAGGGTCACTAATTTGGAACACTAAAAAAATAAAAACAAAAATGCATGACTTCACTTATATGTGGTTTTCCATGTGAAAACCAGTGAGCCTTACTATAGGACCAAAGATTTCCATGATTATACACTATCACTTTATGAAGTATTGTAAAGATTCTACTAATGTTTACAATAAGGGTCTGAGAGACAGGGTCTTGCTCTGTCATCCAGGCTGGAGCACAGTATCCTGACCATAGACCACTATCACCTCAAACTCTTGGGCTCAAGCGGTCCTCCAGCCTCAGCCTCTAAAGTAGCAGGGATTACAGGTGGGAGCCATTGTACCCAGCCAAGATTCTGTTGTGTTTAATTAAAATCCAGGCCTTATGGACTTTAATAAAATGTCTATGCCCTAAAGCCCTCTGCAGGGCTGATGCTTCATTTGTGGAACTAGGTTCCTCTTCATTTCCTGCAAGTTGGGATCTGTGTTTCAGTTCATGGCCAATTGTGTATTTACTATTCCTTTGGTTTTTTTAATCCAAATTCATTAGGAATTTATAGCAAGATTTGGGTTTGCAACTGAGTGGATGCCCTGTTGCTGGAAACCAAAGTCCACTATTTATATAGAGATTTAATGGATTTTGCTTAGAAAAAAATGAAGAGTTTCCAAAGACAAAACCTAAAAGTCAAAGGACTAGTCCAATGCGCTCATACTGATGAGGAAAGAAGGCCCAGGGAAATGAAGGCCAGTCAGCGGTCACACTTCCACTAAGAATCGAGCTCCACTTTCCAATCTCCCTCTCTCCCTCCCTTCCTCTCTCCCTCCTACTCTTTCTTGCCTTCCTTTCTTTGTTTCTTCCTACCACAAACTGCATTAGATATTAAATTCAGTATCATGAGACCTTAGTTGATCAAGTGTCCATTGGTCAAACAGGACAATTTTGTGAGTTTGATTATAACAGTCACACCAAAAGCCAGTAACTATTCCGGGTAGCATGAATGATATGGATGCAGGGCTTAACTCCAGAATATCACCTCCTGCATCAAAAACATCTATAGGAAGGGTACTGACTGTCAGCATTTGTTTTGTGTTGAGCTCAATTTACTCTATACAGAGAATATGGCAATCCAATGTCTTTGTAGGATAATATGAGTACTTTATGAAGATGTATTTGTGAATTCATATTGTAGCTTTTTTCTATAGCTCTGACTATAACAATATGAGTCAGCTGCGGTTACAACTATTTATGCCATGGAAGTGAAATGAATGACCCTATTGTTTGAGACCACATCCTACAATCACATTAAAAATATCCTAAAACAAACCTGCAGAAGCCCAGTGATAAGTACTGTTGCCTTTGGATGCTTGTTTCTCATTTATCCCTGATTCATTGTTCATTTTTTTCCAGGGCTCTCTTTGCATCATCTTTTATCCAGAGAAACTTGTGTTTCTCTTAAAAATCAACTGCCCTGGTAAAGTGTTGGTTGATTAAGAAAAGTCAACAAACCATGAAGTGCCATAAGGAACTGATAGGATTTCAAAAGACCTATTTCTTTCATCCAGCCACACCTTGGCACCACCACAAAGGTGGCAGTTCTTTCTTGCCATGAAAAAAATCCCCTTCCCCACCTTTTTAGTAGTTTCAGGTTAGCCTGAGGTGAATTGGGGAATTTATCAGAAGCAGTTAGTCAACAGTAGATAAACTAAAGTGACTACTCTGTATATGGGCAGGATCAAAGGTCTAGAAACAAATGATTTTAAATTGTAAAAGAACCTTCAAATGTGTTAGAGTGCTGAGCCTCCCAGATGGATCCTTCCAGAAACTCCAGTCTGGCAGGTGTGTTCATTATTGCTGATGCTAGTTGCACTCACACTACCATTTGCTGAGCACATATCGTGATCCAGGCACCATGCTAAAGGTTTCATGTGCATTTTATTGAATCCTCTCAACAAACTTAAGGGGGCCAGGCATGGTGGATCATACCTGTAATCCTAGCACTTTGGGAGGCCAAGGCGAGAGGACTGCTTGAGCCCAAGAGTTAGCCTGGGTAACATAGCGAGGCCTCATCTCTACAATAAATTAAAAAAAAAAAATGAGTCGGGCATGGTGGCGTGCACCTGTAGTTCCAGCTGCTCAGGAAGCCGAGGTGGAAGGATTGCCTGAGCCCAGGAGGTCATGATTATGCCACTGCACTTCAGCCTGGGCGACAGAGTGAGATTCCAATTAAAAAAAAAACAAAAACCAAAAAACTTTAGGGGAGTTATATTTCTACTTTGTAGACTGGAAAACTGAGGCTCAGAGACATGATCCATTGCCTGAGTTCAACCAGCTAGTTTGTGTGGTGGAACAAGGACTTAACATGTTGATGCCCTGTGCTCTTGCCTTTGAACTGTGAACCTTGCCTCAGGACGTGCAATTTAAACTCCTGCTCTCTTATCTGCAGGACTTTGTCATGAGTAACTCCTTTTCCCCTGAAAGGGTTACTTACCTAAACAATTTGAGATTATCTGCAAGTTTAGGAATATCCGTAATGTCCTCCTAAGGAAAAAACAAATGACATTTCACAACAGGAACCTTACAAGTGATGTTGATATTCTTTATACCTGCATTGTCATTGGCCACATGTGGCTATTTAAACTTGAATTTGTTAAAGTTAAAGAAAATGAAAAACTCAGTTCCTTAGTCATACCAGCCACATTACCTAGAGGTGTGGTGGGGTGGGGGGCAGTAAGAGGAGGAGGGGAAGGGATGGGAGGGGGAGGGGAAACATGTAGGGGTTCCTGAGGTGGAGGGCGAAGTTCTATTTTTTTATTTGGGTGGGGCTTGGGTGATAAGTGCGTACTAATTTGCCAAGCTGTACATTTAGGTGCTTTTCGTTTTTCTGTATGTGTCTCCTTAATAACAAAAGTGAACAAAAGATTAAAAAAAATGATTAAGCAGTTTCTACCTACCAATCAAGTTAAAAATTTGAGTTAGACGTGACTGCTTTTATGTACAAACTAGTCTGCAATTTTTACATTCGTGTGGTGATTCTGGCTACATCTGGGTCACTGATTAAACTCTCCAAAGGAACCTGGCTCAAAGTTCATTCTGCAATGTGGGTTGGTGCCTGTTTTCAAACTGTTGTTTAGTTAGCATTACATAAAAATATTGAGAGAGGGCGGAGGGCATTTTTCATTTATCTTAAGGAGGTTCATTTTTCTGTTGTATTTATTCAGTGAAGAAAACAGACCACAGAGAACAATTTCACTGGGTCCTTGTCTCCTACAAATGTGAGACAGGACTCTGCATCTCTTGGCATTTATTTTGCAGTAAGTACTTGCTCTTGCATGATACCAATTTCCTGTTTTTAGACATTTGATGATAAGAGAACACACAATGAATCTGTAAGAATACGGTGACTCATTGCTATCCATTATTTCTACTTAGATCCAGTTATGACGGACCCACCTCTCTGATACAATGTGATTAAACTAATAGTTAATCCTATGATTGAAGAAGTTAAACAAAAGAATGGAACCCAATGCATTAAACAGGGGGGGCATTCCAATTATAAAGCAGTCCTATTTCATGAATAAGGAGCAAGAGATGATAAAAGCAGTTTTTAAAAAAGTATTTTACTGGAGGGTTTGTGTTTATTTCCTGAAGTCAAAAGGATTCATGAACTTTTTACAATGTCCAGCAAAAGACCCTCACTGCCATCAAGCTTGCCCAGTTGAAATATATGACAAAGTAAATAGGAAATAAGATTTTATATCTGTAAAGCATTCCCTATTCTCACAGCTGCCTCCTGCAACAGACAGGGCAGTTCTTTCAAGACTGAGTGAACCAATTCCACGCTCCATGATAGTGAAGTGGAGCTCTCAGCCATCTCTCCCTCACATCACACCATGCCAACTTGCCCCTAGGAAGCAATACAATACAGGAGAAATCACATGAAATATAGTCCCTTATAGAGCTAACCTGAGAAAAGACAGTTCTTGCTAAGAAGCTTGTCAGAGAAGAGTAAATTCTTTTTTTTCAAAATCAGAGAAAATATTCTTTTATTTATAATAGAGAAAAGTTCATCTATATTTGTCAGTGAGAACAAAGTCATGATTCTGAGTTATCAGAAAAGTTCATACCAAAGGGCTGTCTGCTTTTCCACCTTCTAGGGTCACTTCCAAGTTAGAAAGTGCTGCTTCCACTTCATCAACCTCGGAGTCATTGGTGAAGTCCTGTATGTCAGCGGACAATGACAGTTTGCTAATATGATACTAAAACAAAAACAGAGGATTTAGAAATAAGTCCATGAGCCAGTTCTTCACTGAAAACAATTCCCTTGGAACACTGCACATCTCCTGAAAGATCTCCCTCCTGTGTGGAAAATGACGTTTTAATCTGAATCATTCTGAGACTGAACTCATGTTGTGTTCACTACTGGTTCATCTCCATCATGGACTGCGTTTGCAGCAGGGAAGAGCTAAGAATTGCAAACGACGTGCACATGTGTGTATAGGACGTGCACATGTGTGGATTACGAGGAGCATTTTAAATTTAAATGCATGGCCCTCCTTTTAGGCTCTTTTTTTAAAAGAAAAAAACAGCAGTGAAGAATACGAAACTTCAAGCAGAACCAACTTGGTCTCCTTCCAGAGAAAAGAAATCGACGTTCTCGTCATACCTGCAGTGCTGCAAAGATCAACATTTCTTCCTCTGTGCAGTCAATTTCTTCTAAGAGAATGGCCCACCTGGCTTGTTCATAGAGTTGGTTTATTCGAACAGCATCGTACTAGAGAAAAATAACAGATGTGTGTGTGTGTGTGTGTGTGTGTGTGTGTGTGTGTGTACATGTATATAACGTAGTACAGAATTTCTGGAATAACAGAGGTCATTCTCTGTTTAATCCAATGCAATAAGCTTCAGTTCAGAAAACTGAAAGAACACTTCTATCTGTCCACTTTCCCAGCTCATTTTTACTCCCGAATTCAGAACTTTCTTTCCCCGAATATTTTCCAGAGCTGTTGCTCCTTCTTCACAACCCCTCACGGATTCTGTTATTTTCTCTCTTCTATGGCACTTCTATTGGTAAAGAGATAGTGAAGATGGTTTGCACAGCAAATAGTGTAAAGGAGAAAGATCCCCAGCCCGTCTGCAGACTCAGTGCAATCCCAAGCAGAATCTGATAGGAATTTTTTTTTTTTTTTTTTGAGTTGGAGTCTCACTTTGTCACCCAGACTGGAGTGCAATGGCCGCTCCCGGCCACCGCAGCCTCGCTCCGGCGATCCTTCCGCCTCAGTCTTCCAAGTAGCTGGAACTACAGACGGGCGCTACCACACCCAACTAACTGATAGGAATTTTTTAATGGAACTTTAAACAAACTGAGTCTCAAGTTAAGCTGGAAGACATAATGTTCAAATGTTGCCAAGGAATTGAAAAAGAAGAACAATGTTGAGGGAAGCACTTGTCCTCCCAAACATTAAAATATATTATAAAGTTACAGTAATTAAAACTGTGTGGTATTGGTATAGTGATGACTGAACATTATCTAGAAGTAGACTTATGCATATATATACATTTACTATAAAATAAAAATGGCATTTTATATTAGCAGGGGAAGAAAGACTTCAACACCACAAATGGTGTGAAAATGCCCAGCCATTTGGGGAAAAAAATCAAAACAAAAAATAACTTTACACAGTCCAAAAATATAAATTACAGATGGATTGAAGGATTTAAACATACAAAACCACAATGAGATACTACTTCACACCCATTAGAATGGCTCTGATATAAAAGAGACAATAACCGGTGTTGGTGAGGATGTGGATAAATTTGAACCTTCGTGCACTGCTGGGTGTAAAATGGTGCAGCCTCTGTAGAAAAGTTTAGTCGTTCTTTAAAAAGTTAAACATATAATATGATCCAACTATTCCACTCCTGGATATACACCCAAACAAATGGAAAGCAGGGACTCAAAAAGATACTTGTACACCAATGTTCACAATATTGTGAACATTATGCACAATAGCCAAAAACCAGAAACAACCAAAATGCTCAATGACAAGTGAATGGATAAACAAAACATGGTATACACATACAGTGGAATATGATTCAGCCTTAAGAAGAAGAAAATTGTGACACACAGTACAATATGAAAGAATCTTGACAATGTTATGCTAAGCGAAATAAACCAAACACAAGAGGGTGAATATTGTCTATTTTCACTCATATGAACAACCTAGAATAGGAAAGTTCATAGAGACAGAAAGTAAAGTAGAGATTATAAGGGTAGAGGAGAGGAGAAAATTATTGTTATTGCTTAATGGGTACAGAGTTTCTTTTCGAGATGAAGAGAAAGTTTTGAAAATAGAGAGTGGTAATAATTGCACAGCATTGCAAATATACTTAATGCTACTCAGTTGCACACCTAAAAATAGTTAACGTGATAAATTTTATATGTATTTTACCATTATAAAAAAGTCAAAGAAAAAACCCCAAACATATATATGAATGTTCAGAGCAGCATTATTCCTAATAGCCTAAAAGTGGAAGAATTCAAATGTTCACTGATGGAAGAATGATTGAATAGATGTGGTATATACACACAATGAAATATGAGTTGGCAATAAAATGACATGGAATACTGATATAGGCTATGATATGGATACACTTTGAAAATATTATGCTACGTGGAAGAGACTAGTCATAAAGTACCACTAGTGGTACAATCACACTTAGAGGAAATGTCTGTCCAGAGTAGACACTTTCACAGAGACAGAAAGTAGAATGAAGGAAACCCAAAGCTAGGAGTGCTGGAGGGGATTGGGGTGTGACTGCTAATGGGTATGGAGTTTCTTATCGGGGTGATGAAAATGTTATGAAATTAGATAGTGGTGATGGCTGCATAACTCTGTGAGTATATTAAAAAGCATTAAATATTAAACAAGTGAATGTGTATCATGTGAATTATATTCAAAAAGCTATTACTAAGTCTAAACAAAACCCAAAACTATTATTGGGAACCTTGAGAACACACGTTTTGTGATCTTTAAACATGTTTAATAGCAAAAAGTACCCTAAAAAAGGTTATAAACTTATAAGGCAAGATACAAATTAAAAGAATATTTGAGGCCGGGCTCGGTGGCTCACCCTGTAATCCCGCGCTCTGGGAGGCTGAGGTGAGTGGATTGCCTGAGCCCGTGAGTTCGAGACCCGCCTGGGCAACTTGGCGAGACCGCATCTCTACGATAAATAAAAAAATTAGCTGGGCGTGGTAGCGCGTGCCTGTAGTTCCAGCTACTTGGAAGGCTGAGGCAGAAGGATCGCCAGAGCCCAGGAGGTCGAGGCTGTGGTGGCCGGGAGCGGCCACTGTGCTCCAGTCTGGGCGACAGAGTGAGACTCCAACTCAAAAAAAAAAAAAAAAAAGGATATTTGAATAACTGAAAAAATATTTGCAATAAATAAAGGAAGTAATACCCATAAAACAAGGGAGACCAAAAAAACCCAAACAAACCCCCAAGCCGGGCTTGGTGGCTCTGCCTGTAATCCCGTGCCTTGGGAGGCTGAGGTGAGTGGATTGGCTGAGCCCGCAGGTTCGAGACGTGTCTGGGCAACTTGGTGAGACCTCATCTCCACAATAAATCAAAAAAAAAAAAAAAAAAAAAAAAACAGCCGGGCGTGGTAGCGCATGCCTGTAATTCTGGCTACTCGGAAGGCTGAGGCGGAAGGATCGCCGGAGCCCAGCAGGTCGAGGCTGCGGTGGCCGGGAGCGGCCACTGCACTCCAGTCTGGGCGACAGTGAGACTCCAACTCAAAAAAAGAAACAAAAACCCTGGAATTTATTTATAAAAATTGTGTATTTATTTTTACATGTTTAAGCTTCGGCCACCTTCAAAATACTCTCCATTTGATGTAATACACCTATTAAGATACTTTTTCCACAGCTCAAAACAGTTTTGAACTCATCAATTTTGATGCCATTTAGTGCTTCCGCCATTTTTTGTTTCACCTCTTCCACATCAGCAAAATGTTTCCTTTTGAGGACTGTTCTCATTCAGGGAAACAAACAAACAAAAAAAAGGTGCTTGGGGTGAGATTGGGTGACTAGAGAGGGTGGGGCAAGAGGGCTATGCTGCTTTTGGTAAAAAACTGCTGAACACTTAGCATGAGGCAGGCAGGTGAGCTCGTAAATCACCCATTATGAAATGGGCAGACATACTGAAAGAATCTCCAAAAAAAATTAACTGAAGCCGAACTTAAGCCTCTCACACCAATGCTAGCTGATACACTGATGCTGATGGGTTACCTAGTGGGGGAAGCCTGTACTACAAGGGGCCTGCCCTCCAAAACATAATTTCATTTTTATGTGGTCCCTCCTCGTAAACAAAGTGCTCCTACACATCAATATGAAAAATATAAATAATTCAGTAGAATTTGGGGCAAATATATACAGTCAGTTCACAGATATCATAATGGCCATGTAAACTTTGATGCTCAAACTCACTGCTTATCAGATGCTCAAACTCACTGCTTATCAGAGAATTCAATCTAAGACAAGATGACATCATTTCCCTTTTAAAAAATCAGATTTGCCTAAATTATAAGTGTTGGTAACGTTTAATGTTGGTGAGAACACTGGACAATCAGCACTTTCCAGTTGTGGTTAGTAGGAAGGTAATTCGGTGGTTTTTTTTGCCCTTTGATGAGCACATCTAGGGGTACTACTCTAAAAAATGCAAGCATGCATCAAAGACGCTTTTTATAAGAATGCTCATCACATTTGGGTCCTGATAAACCATGGTTTAGTCTTGCCTTTGATTATTGTGCAGTGATTAAAGAAAGAGTCAGACTCATATACATGGACATGAAAGATAGTCATGACATAGTGGATAGTAAAAAGAAGCAAGTTATAAAGCAAACAAATGATTCCATTTATAAAGGGAAAATCGGTTAAAAAATTGTGTACAAATGTGTGTGAAAACGTCTGCAAGGATGGTTAGTCATGAAGTTGTTTAGGAGAAAGATCAGGTAAAAAACTATTTCCCATTCTTACTCTAAATAATTGGCTCTTTATGTTTGATTCTTTAAACAATTAATTGTAATTGTGGCAAAACATATAACATAAAATTTACCATCTTAACCATTTTTAAGTGTGTCGTTTAGCGGCATCAAGTACATTCAGATGGTGTACAACCATCACCACCATCCATCTATAGAACTCTTTCCATCTGGCAAAACTGAAACTGTGTACCCATTAAGCAATGATTCTCCTATTTTTTAAAAATAGTGAACACACATTTTACTAAATCCTTTGGAAAAAATACAAATGTTGAAGAAACAGAGACAAGGAATAGAAAGAAAGTCAGAGGAGCTAAGCAGATTGATCGTGGCTGATTAGCATTGATTGATTTTTTCTTTTGCATTAACCTCATGCATACTAATAAAAAAGGTGATAGGGAATGTGAAAATCTTCAGTAAGCCCAAGTCAGAAAACAAGATGCTGTCAGCTAAGTGGGAAATGTGACCTGTGTCCCAGGTGTGCTCCTTCTCTGCATTTCTAAAGCTGTAGGGAAAGGAAGACAAATTCAGACCCAAGCGTGTGGTACTCGAGAGGCCGGGATAGTAAGACCTTTAAGAAAGTCTGCTTTTGCCAGGGATCATGGAGCACCTCAGGAGCTGGTGCAGAATCCTCCAAAACCAAATAAGAGCAAAACACACATGAGAATATTCACAGCAGCAGAACACATTATAGCCCCAAACTGGAAACAATCCAACGTCCCTCAGCTGGTGTGAGGATAAACAAGATGTGGAACGTCTACACCATGGGCTACTGCTCAGCATCACTGATAGCTGCTCCAACACGTATGCCTCAGAATATTATGCCTGCAGAGAGAATCCAGACAAATGATTGCACATTATGTGCCTCTATCCATATGAAATTTCTAGAAAAGGCAAAACTCGAGATAGAAGGCAGACCAATGATGGTCTAGGGCAGAGGCTAGGGGCTGGGACTTACAAAAAATGGGTTTGGGGAAACTTTTTGGATGATGGAAGGTGTTTTAAAACTGAATTGTGGTGATGGCTGCACATTTGTATACATTTACTAAAAAATAACAGTAGTGTATACTTACAATAAGTGAATTTTTAAAAATTCTTTTTCTTCTTTTTCCGAGTTGGAGTCTCACTTTGTCACCCAGGCTGGTGTGCAGTGGCATGAACTCCTGGGCTCAAATGATCCTCTCAGTCTTCCAAGTAGTGAGAACTACAGGCATGTGTCACCACGCCTGACTTATTTTTAATTTTTATAGAAATGGGTCCCACTGTGTTGCCTTGGCCAGGCTTGAATTTCTGGCCTCAAGCAATCCTTCCACTTAGACCTCACAAATTGCTGGAATTACAAGTGTGAGTCACCATGCTTAGGCCCCAGTCTTTTTATTGTTGATTTGTAGGAACTATTTGTATATTAGATAAATTAGTCTTTTGTTTGTAGTATGTGTCACAAAGACTTTTTTACTTTGCTTATGTTGTTTTTGTCATGTGTATAATTTTCACTTTTTATAAAAATATACTAATCTTTTATGGATTCTGGACTTTGCATCTTTTGAGCATATTATCTTTGAAATGTATTTTAGTACTTTACATATCTGAGATTTTAATTAGTACCTGTTATTTTGAACCTATGACTTGCATGCATCTCTCCTCTGAAAGCCACAGGGGCTTCCTAGTCCCCACTGTAGAATTAGGTTATTTTAGGGTGCCTTGTATATTTGCAGTGGTTTCATGGATGCCATCTGTGCTTTTCTTGATTTGACTGTAGATTCCATGAAAACATGACCTACATCTTAAATTTCTATATCCCTTGTATCTATTCAGTACATAGTAGGTGGCTTATTTATAGTACTTGTAATTTTAGAAGGGGAGGGGAGAGAGCACTGCAACACCTCTAAAGTAGCTGGGGGATCCCCATTCTTGTGCCCAAAGCTATGTCCTACTAGCCCAAATCTTTCTGTTACCTTTGGGTTGACAGCTACCATTTGGCTGTTAGATTCAAATAGGTTTCACTTAACAGGCTTTGAAGAGAAAACTCTTCACCAATTAAGCAAGCAGAGGCTGAAGGCCACGAGTCTAAACAACAGCCCAGTGACCCTCACCTTCAGTGTCCTTGCCCCCTTCTGGGAGTACAATTCCTTTTATTTCTTCCACTTTTTAGACAAATGCACAGTGAACACTGCTCCTCTATATTTATACTGAAGGTCTGCCATTGTCTAGATTCTTTGACTGTTAGTCACTTATAAGTTCCTGACAATTTTTTAAGGGGTAGATGACTGAGTTGCATTTCTTTTAGCTTAAGCTCAATTCTGAAGCTGAGGATTTAATGAGGAATGTCTTGGCAAAGAAATTTCTGGAAGGGTCCCTGAGGGCCAGATGCCCCTATCATTGATCAGGTGCCTGAACCAGGAAAGTCGGACTCTCACAGCATCTTTGCACCTTGTGGGGGTGGAGAAACAAAGAAAGTACTAGGGGTGATCTCTGTCTCCAAGGACTTTGTAGTCTATTTGCAGAAAAAACAATCTACAAATGTGGTATGATTCGAGGTGTGAGTCCTGAAATTATTCAGTTTAGTTGTGGCTTAGAGAAGAGAAAGGTCCATGTGACCAAGAGCAGGGAACAAATTTCACTTTCTGGAAAGGGCAGTACTTGAATGTGGTCTCAGCACGGGGGTTCTGAATCTGGGTGGGGTTCTTAGACTTGAGGGTTTTAATTCAGGTGGTCCATGAGCTTGGATGAGGAACCACTACAGCTCCATCTGCATCAACTTCAAAGGGAAGTTTAGCATTTGTAACCATGATGAGCACAGGCAACAAACCACGGAATTACAGTCACTTTGTGACCACCAGAATTATAGGTTTTTTTCCCTAGTGTAGTCCAGCTGTTGCTGCTATCTTCACGTAATGTTCACACACATCATGACTTTGAAATTTTGGTAGTTATGAGATCTGCCACTAGGTCTTATTTCTACAATTAACTAAAAGTATATTACTATCCTACATAGACATTTTGAAAAGATTTTAGTTACTACAGTGTAACTGATTTATTTTATAATCCTATGTTTTTTATTTCACTAACTTGAAAACATTATTCTAATATATGATAGTTTTGGGTTCTCAGTACCTGGCTTAGTTCTTGGCATTCAGTAGTTGCTCAATAAATAAATGTACAAATAACAAGTGGGGCACACTCTTGAATCAATAAAATGGGACTAAATTGCTGACTTAGCAATTAGAGAATGCATAGGGACATTTTACTTAGGTACTACCTGTTTTGAGAAAAAAATTTAAGGCAGCTTCTTAGAATACATACTATACAACAAGATAGCTTAAACAAACTAAGAATTAAGCAAGGAAAGATTAAACTTGGGTCAGGAATGAGGCCTAAATATAAAACAGAAAATATATTAATTTGGTTCTAGCAGAAAATGCAAAGAAGAAAGCCTGAACAGTTGCATAATACACAGTGTAGTTAAAAAAAAAAAAAAAAACCCAAGGCGGGGCATGGTGGCTCATGCCTGAAATTTCAGCACTCTGGGGGGGCAGAGGCAGGAAGATCGCTTGAGAGTTTGAGATCAGCCTAGACAACATAGCGAGACTTCATCTCTACAAAAAATAAAAAAAATTCGCCAGACATGTGTCTGTAGTCCCAGCTGCTCAGGAGTTTGAGGTGAGAGGATCCCTTGAGCCCAGGAACTCAAGGCTGCGGTGAGCCATGATAGTGTCACTGCAATCCGGCTCGGGCAACAGGGAGAGCCTGACTCAAAAATAAATAAATTAATTAAATAAAATTTTAAAAGCCAAACCAATTATTTAGAAGAAGCAGTACAGTAGGTTCTCCTGAAGATTTTATGGAAGAAAAGCCACAATTGCCCTTTACCATGACTCACTGGGTCTTATGCATTTCAGATACAAGCTAGGTCAACCAGCGTTGACTTGGATCCAAACCATGGACTGCAGGAGCTTCTTCACAGAAATGACAAAAGATAAGCTTTATTTTGAAGAAGATACTGGTTAGGGAAACAGTAGGAGCCAAGGTGGGCCTTTGAAAACCAGACTGAAAGGACCAAGGAGAAGACGGTGCCACAAGAGGTAGAAATACTGCTGTAGAAAGGCTCTGTATGGAAAGGTAGACTGAAGTAAGTTCCTTAACCAAACTACAAATCTGGGATGAAAACAAGGTGACAAAGTTGCCCCCTGCACTCAGAGGATTGGTCTACCAGTTTATACTGTCAAAACTGGGCCACTGAACTCCTAACTTACAGCCACTGCAAAGGGCTTGTTGGGAGCAAGGAAGTCGCGAAAGTTCAAAGGACTTGTCTCACATCTCACGAGTTGTCCTAATAAACCTCAGGTGGGAGATGTGCGCTGAAAATGGGATTGGAGACCGACTGGGGTTTTTATTTACATCAATGATCCCGTTTTCTCGTCACCAAAGATTTAGTAAGCACTGTGGCGGGGAGTCTGGTGTGCACATCTGTGTCCCTGGCTTGTCCATGAGAGCCTGTCCTTAACCCTGGCCTCTGACAAGTCTTCTTTCTAGGCATGAAAGACTCCTGCTCTGTGAGTGATTTTCTTCTTGTTTCTCCATTTCTGTAAACAGAGAGGGGCAGTACATGCCACGCTGGGATGTACTCCCGCAAACTCAGAGGCAGCTTACCACACCCCCTAGACACCAAAAAATGAAAATTTAGAGATTAGCATGCATGTATCAATTTAACTCCACAGAGCTAAACAGAAGGTCACACAAACAAATGAATCCTGATTTTGATAACATAAGGAATCTGTTTTACATGTTCATACATTCACATTTTTAAAAAGAGAGCGAAAAAAGAGAAAATGCCTCTTACTTTTGGGTTCAAGTCAAAGAAAGTATAGTATTTAAACCGTAACAAAAGCTGTTCATCCTCTTGGATGTCTTGCTCCATGAGGGAACGTGAAGAGTCCAGCCAACTAGAAAACAACAGCATGAGTTAGAAAAGCCAATCAATGTCTATCCACTATAGCATTATATTATGTTACTTTATCTATTACATATGTATACACACACACACACACACACACACACACACACACACACACACTTGTGCAAAGTCAGAATAAGCCATACAGATTGAGTATCCAAAATCTAAAATCTGAAATGCTTCCAAATCCAAAACTTTGAGTGCTGACATGATGCTCAAAGCAAATGCTCACTGAAGCATTTTGAATTTAGGATTTCTGGATTAGGGGTGCCCAACCAGTGAGTATAATGCAAATACTCCAATATCTGGAAAAAATCACAAATCGAAAACACTTCTGGTCCTAAGCATTTCGGATAAGAGAGACTCAATCTGTATGACCAAAAACCAGTAAGCATACAATAAGAGCACATATTTGCGTTTTATCTTATGTTTTTCAAGGTGCTTTATCTATGTTTTTCAAGGTGCTTTATATATTGATATTTTCTCAACACCTTAAAGTAATCCAATGAAGGAGCCAGCTCAGTTCTTATTATCACAGTTTTATAGATGAAGTCACAGTCTCAGCAACATAAGATGTCCTTTCAAGGTCACAGGCCTGGTGGCGGGGCCAGCATGAGACTGTACACCTCCTGACTAGTCGCCCTGCCACTCCACTGTACCAGGTGGTTCACCCCAAAGCCAGTTCTATCTTGTTGCCTGGAACTTTCAATGGGGGAACTATTCATACCTGTGCTGTCTAATACATTAGTCTGAAGCTGCATGAGGCTGCTGAATATGCTAAATGTGGTTAGCCCACATTTTATTTATTTAAATTCAAATTTAAATTTAAATGCCTGCATGTGGCCAGTGGTTTTTGTACTGGATAGTACGGTTCTAGACTTGAAAAATAAAACCTGGGACCAGGTGCCGTGGCTCACACCTGTAATCCCAGCACTTTGGGAGGAAGTAGAGGCGAGAGGATTGCCTGAGACCACAGGTTTGAGACTAGCCTGGACAACATGGTGAGACTTTGCTTCAACAATAAATAAATTTTAAAAACTAGCTGGGCTTGGTAGCACACACCTGTATTCCAGCTACTTGGAAGGCTGAAGCAGAGGGACTGCCTGAGCCCACTAGGTAGAGGCTACGGTAGCCATAAGTGTGCCACTGACTCCAGCCTAGGTAACAGAGTGAGACTCCAACTCAAAAAAGAAAAAAAAAAGAAAGATAAAAACTGGATAATGGTAAGCAGTGGTAATATTAACAAAATTAGAAGGGGATGAGTGTCATCCAACACCACTGAATAAAAATGGCTTGAACTTCCATTATATTAGGCCCTGTGGGAGACTAAGGATGATCAAGACATGACTGTCATCCTAAAGGAGATGGCAGTCCAGTGGGGAGACCACACCTCATAATAAAGGAACCTCATGACAGCTGGAACAAGCAAAGTGTTAGAACTACAGGGAAGTGACCATTCTGGAAGGTGACACTTGAGAAAGACACAGCATGTGGGTTGGGTCTTGAAGGATAAGCAATGGATATTGAACGCTGTTGACAAATCTGACTTGATTCTGTGGACAATGGAGGAACAAAAGAAATAGTAGCTGGAGAAATAGTTTAAGGATATTATCTGAGATCATTCCCAAGGGAGAGGACTTGCTCCCTAAGATGCCTAATGAGTGAAGTGGCGTTCCACGAAAGACAACATCGTACACTATCACCATGTGGGAAAAAAAAAGACAACTGAACCAAGTGGCCAGCTTGGGTCACCCCCACTGACCCTTGGGGACCAACATGCTTCAAAATCAATCTACATCTTATAAAATACACTTTGCCAACCAGTCGTGACAGATACTTAGTACTCACATATGGTCATCCATGGAGTTGACTGAAAGCATACATTTTGTCACATTTGAGATGTACTGAAATGCTCAAAGTTTGATTTTTTTCTCTTTGTTAAGATCAGCACTGACTTTTGCTAATAATGTACAATCCCCAGGCCTACCAACTTGAAATTAAATACCTCCCCATCTCTCTTACGATGTCAACACCAATTCCAGGAGAAGCAAAGGAACCACGCGTTTACCCTGCATTGAGCTTGGCTTTATCAACCAGAGACCGAGGCTGGAACATATCTGCAAGTGCTTCTGGTGACTGAGGATGTTGGCTGAACGCGAGGATGTTGCAATTTTGTTCAGCCAAAGGGCTGTCACTGAACCACGTCATGGTGGATGACACCGGAGTTCCATTGATGGGATCATATGTTGGAGTCATGGTTTTACTGTATAAGCCAGGGCTGACTGCAAGGCAAGGGGAACGTGCACCATGATGTGAGATTCAGGGGGTAGAAATCGTCAGGAGAGTAAGTACTAAGGTGACTTACACTAAAATGAATTAATTATGCTATTTTTTTTTGAGTCAGAGTCTCACTCAGTCGCCCTAGCTGGAGCGTAGTAGCACGCTCACGGCCACCATAGCCTCAACCTTCTGGGTTCAGTTGATCTTTCCACCTCAACTACAGGCATGCGCCACCATACCCGGATAATTTTTTGATTTATTGTAGAGGTGAGGTCTCACAAGTAGCCCAGATTGGTCTCGAGTCTCTGGGTTCAGGTAATCCTCTCATCTCCACCTCCCAATGTGCTAGGATTACAGGTGTGAACCAATGTGCCCAGCTTGTACTTTTTTTTTTTTTTTAAGTGCAAGTTACGATGATAGGGAAGCGAGTAATATATAGGTAAAGGTCCTGTCTGTATATTCAGCTCCTGGGAAGATCTGGAACTCAAATATGTAAAAGCTTCCAAAAATCAACATAAACACTAGGAACTTCTCTAAAATGTAATTCAAAGTCCTATTTCAACAGAAGTCTTGGTACTATTAGAGAACTGGAGACCTTACAGAATACATGTATGACAGAGAACCCCTCAAAAAAATCCAGAATTTATTTATAAGAAATTGTGTATTTATCCTTACATGTTTAAACTTCAGTTACCTTCAAAGTACTCTCCGTCTTATGCAATACACTTATCGAGACCCTTTTCCCACTGCTCAAAACAGTTTTTGAACTCATCAGTTTTGATGCCTTTTAGTGCTTCTGTAATTTTTCATTTCACTCTTTCACATCGTCAAAACGTTTCCCTTTAAGAACTTTTTTTTTTTATTGGGGCGGAATCACTCAGGGTGAGATTGGGTGAATAGGAAGGGTGGGGCATGGGGGTTATGCCAGTTTTAGTCAAAAACTGCTGAACACTCAGTGCAGTGTATGCAGGTGTGCTCATAAATCACCCATTATGGAATGGGTAAAAGCGTTGAAAAGAATCTCAAAAAAAAAAAAAAATTTCACGGAAAATGAATACAGTCTCTCACAACAATGCTAGCTGGTACACTGATGCTGATAGGTTCTTAGAACCTAGCAGGGGAAGCCTGTACTACAAAGGCCTGCCCTTCAAAAGATAATCCTGGGTTTTTTTTGGGTCCCCCTTGTATACAATATATTCTAGACAGCCTCATAAACAAATAGTACTTGCCAATTTAAGAATCCAGCAGGATGATGATTTATACATTATCTGGCTCTGATTTGCATAAGGAAAGGACAGATTTTTTTTTTCTTTGCATTGGAATACACTATGCAAGAAAGCCCTCTATCTTATGAACAAGCCAAAGATGTGATTATTTTGATATAAAAAGAAAAGGAGGCCTAGCACGGTGGCTCACACCTGTAATCCCAGCAGTTTGGGAGGCCAAGGTGGAAGGATCGCTTGAGCCCAGGAATTTGAGATCAGTGTGGACATCATAGTAAGAGCTCATCTATACAAAAATAAAAAATAAAAAAAATTAGCCTGGCATGGTGTTGTGCACCTGTAGTCCCAGCTGCTCAGGAGGCTGAGGAGAATGGATCTCTTCAGCCTAGGAGGTTGAGGCTGTGGTGAGCCGTGATTGTGCCACTGCACTCCAGTCTGGGTGACAGAATGAGACCCTGACTCAAAAACAGAAACAAACAAGCAAAAAACCCCCTCTCCCTCCAAAAACAAAAAAACAAAAGAAAAGGAAGCTACCTCTCCAGAATTTTCACCTGCCCTCCTCTTGCGTGCTCCATGAAAAACAATTCAAAAAAGAATCACACAAAGATAGAATTGAGTAGAGTGAAATATATTTGAGTGATTTAACATATTTTTCTAAGCACCATTCTCTTATCCCAAATTCATGCTTAGTTATACTAAAATTTTGCATTCATCAGCAACATAAAATCTATAATTAAAATGAGTCATTAAGCATTCCTGTTGAGATAAAGGTCTGAAGTAGATTTCTGTTAGTTCTAAATTTAACTGGATACCCTTTCCTCATCACATCAATACTGAAATTTTCTCTCTCCCTTGTTTGGTGGGGGTGGGGGTGGGGGAGAGGTGTATTTTCTTCTTGGGTTTTACACTACATTCACAAATTAAGACAACAAAACACCTGTGGTTTCCTTGCCTTACCTGGAGAACCTGAAATTGTTGGAGAACTCTCCAGGTTTAGAATATCTTCAATTATGGGTTCCCTATTATTTTTGTCTTTTTTCTTCTTCTTCTTAAAATAGTCACCAGAAGGCTTTAACAAGGAAAGTTCTTCTGGTCTTCTAATATCTAGGGGAAAAAACCCAAAAAACCACAAACAAATAATAATAAAAAAGAAAATTCCTTTTAAGACTCAGAATCATTTTGTACATTTGAAACTGTTTCTCAGGAAATTCCTGAGACCTAATGGGAACTAAGTTGCATGCCTTTTGAAGGAATAGAGGAAAAAACAGAGACTGTCAAAGAAGGGGGAGGGTAGAAAACAGTGGAAGGGGATTCAGTGTAGTAACATTTCTAGTTTAAAAAATTATTATGACAATATTTCAAATGTATCTACAGCAAATACTATTATTTTTTTGATGCAGCATCTCACTCCATCACCCAGGCTGGAGTGCAGTAATACCATCACGGCTCACTGCAGCCTTAACTTCTTGTGCTCAAGCAATCCTTCCACCTCAGCCTCCTGAGTAGCTGGGACTATAGGCATGTGCCATCATGCCCGACTAATTAAAACAAAAATTTTTTTTTTTTTATAGAGATGAGGGCTTGCCATGTTGCCCAGGTGGGTCTCAAACTCAAGCATCATCCCACCTCGGCTTCCCGAAGTGGATGCTGGAATTACAGGTGTGAGCCACTGCATGCAGCCCCATGTTCTCCCTATCTGGCTTCACCAATTATTAGCATTTTGCTATTCTTACCATCTTATCACCGACTTTTTCCTCCCTCCCTCTCTTTCTTCCATCTTTCCGTCTCCTCTATTCTTCCCTTCCTCTTTCCTTTTTTAATGATTTAAAAATAACAACTGGCGGGGCATGGTGACTCAAGCCTGTAATCCCAGCACTTTGGGAGGCCGAGGCTAGAGGAATGCCTGAGCCTAGGAGTTTGAGACCATCCTGGATAACTTGGCGAGACGCTGTCTCTACAAATAATAAAAAAAAAAGTAAGCCAAGCTCGGTGGCTCAGCCTATAATCCCGTGCCTTGGGAGGCTGAGGTGAGTGAATTGCCTGAGTCTGAGGCAACTTGGTGAGACCTCATCTCCACAATAAATCAAAAAATTAGCCAGCTGTGGTAGCACACACCTGTAGTTCCAGCTACTTGAAAGGCTGAGGCAGAAGGATCTCCGGAGCCCAGCAGGTCGAGGCTGGGCTCGGTGTGGTGACAGGTGTGGTGGTGCACGCCTGTGGTTCCAGTTACTCGGAAGGCTGAGAATTGCATAAGCCCCCCAGGTCGAGGCTTCAGTGGCTGTGAGTGTGCCACTGCACAACAGCCTGGGTGACAGAGTGAGACTCCGACTCAAAACAACAACAACAACAACAACAAAAAATCCAACTAACGGCCTACCTCTTTTTTTCTTTATAGACCATGAATCTTAAAAACCTCTTTCTCACACATGGTCCAGCAGCTTATCTCACCCTTGTGGCTGACATCCTCATGCCCTGCCCGTCTCTTCTTGGTCCTTACCACATCAGTGCATGCTTACCCGACTTCACCTGGAACATGTGTCTTTCTGCCTGAGGGTTGCTCTGGCAGCTGGCCAGGGTCTGTACTTTCTACACACCCATGCAATAGCCTCAGGAACAGCCCTTAGCAACTGACAAGGGTGCTGTATAAACACCCTTGCACTGAGACTGTGTCTACACTGTCTCCCAGAAGTCCCCCGCTGCTGAAGTGTGACTTGCTTGGTGATACACTCTTATTGGTGGTCTTCTCATCTCAGTCTCACTTGCCCATCATCTCCACCAGGATTTCCTGGCATCAGCTCTCACATAAACTATTTGTACTTGAAACCCTTATCTCAGGGTCTGCTTTGGGAAACCCAAACTATAATAATTCCCATTTCCCTCATTAAGTGAATATGTTTATTTTTTAAATTTAATTTAATTTTTTTTTTGAGTTGGAGTCTCACTCTGTTACCCAGACTAGAGTGCAGTGGCCACTCCTGGCCACCGCAGCCTTGACCTGCTGGGCTCCGGCGATCCTTCCACCTCAGCCTTCTGAGTAGCCAGAATTATAGGCACACGCTATCACGCCCGGTTGATTTTTTGATTTATTGTAGAGATGAGGTCTTGCTGCCCAGGCAGGTCTCGAACCCGCGGGCTCAGGCAATCCACTCACCTCAGCCTCCCAAAGGCGTGGGATTACAGGCTGAACCACCGAGCCCGGCTAAGTGAATATATTTATAATTGCTGATTAGAACTGCTGATAACCATGAACTTCTGAGTGACCATCATCCCAGGTGAAAGCCAAGGAATGTGGATGGGATGTTTTAGTCTCTCGGCAGCTTTGCGAAAGGCAAGTGCACTGATTCCACTAGGTCCTCCCATCACCTCATTCATACATTGCTTAGTGCTGAGAGACCAAGCCTCACATTCCAGCTTGACTCTCTCCCCAGTAGATGCCTGATTGTCATGCTGCAAGACATACTTGTGACCATTCCAAATGCATAATTTATATACAAAACCTCGTGATGAGCTAAAAATCCCAGCATAAGACCTAAACAAAAATAAAAAAACCCTGTATCTTCAAACCTAAGATGTGTATCTTTTTTGTTCTTCAAGGGAAAAAAAATTATACTGCTAAATTTGATCTAGCTTCAACTGATCAAATATAAAAAGCAATAATTAGAAATGTCAAGTTGATACCTATCACCATACACAAAAATCAATTCCAAATGGATCAAAGATCCAAATGTAAAACCTCAAACTATAAGAACCTTAGAAAATGCAGGAGTCAACCTTACGGAATTGGAACTGGCAACCAATTCCTGATCAAAACCCCAAGTGCCCATGCCATAAGAGATAAGATAAACAAGTGGGACTTCATCAAACTGACAAGCTTCTGCAAAGCCAAAGAAATCATCAAGAGAGCAGGGTGGGCTGGGCTCGGTGGCTCAGCCTGTAATCCCAGTGCTTTGGGAAGTCAAGGTGAGTGGATTGCCTGAGCCCGCGAGTTCGAGATCCGCCCAGGCAACTTGGCGAGATCTCATCTCTACAATAAATCAAAAATTAGCCGGGTGTGGTAGTGTGCGCCTGTAGTTCCAGCTACTTGGAAGGCTGAGGCAGAAGGATCGCTGGAGCCCAGAAGGTCGAGGCTGTGGTGGCCAGGAGCGTGCCACTGCACTCCAGTCTGGGCGACGGAGTGAGACTCTAACTCAAAAAGAAAAAAAAAAAAGAGAGAGCAGGGTGACATCCCATAGACTGTGAAACAATATTCGCCAACTTTATGTCTGACAAAGAGCTAACTTCTGGGATCTACAAGGAACTCAAATGTGCTGAAAAGAAAAAAGCAAACAGCCCCATTACAGAGTGGGCAAAAGACATGAATAGATACTTCTCAAAAGAAGGCATATGAGCAGCCAACAGATACATGAAAAAATGCTCCCCCTCACTATTCATCAAAGAAATGCAAATTAAAACCACACTGAGATACCACCTAATTCCAGTCAGGATGGCCATCATCAATAACTCAAAAATCAACAGATGTTGGAAGTATGTGGGGAAAAGGGAACACTTCTACACTGTTGGTGAGGGTGTAAACTAGTCCAACCTCTGTGGAAAACAGTGTGGCGATTCCTAAAAGATCTAAAAATTGACCTTCCATATGATCCTGCAATCCCCCTACTGGGAATATACCTGGAGGAACTCAAATCACTCTATGAGAAAGATACCTGCACACGTATGTTTATTGCAGCATGTTCACAATAGCAAAAACATGGAACCAGCCATGCTGCCCATCAAAAGAGGACTGGATAAAGATACATGCATGTGCAAGTATCTTTTTTTTGTAGAATGATTTGAATTCCTCTGGATATATTTCCAGAAGGGGGATTGTTGGGTCATATGGAAGGTTAATTTCTAGTTCTTTTAAGAATTGCCACACAGAATTTCCACACAGGTTGAACTAGTTTACACTCCCACGGAGTATTATGCAGCCTTATAGAAGGACAAAATTCTGGACTTCACAGCATACTGGATGGATTTAGAGTCCATCATACTTAGTGATCTATCACAGAAACAAACAACTGAATACTCATAAGTGGGTCCTGAACATTTATCACAATACTACAAGGGAGGAATTAGCAGTAGCGGGACACTACCAGGGGAGGAGGAGATGGTACATAACATCACTGAAGGAACTTGATACTAAACCAGAGGAAGTGAGGACCGGTTGGAGGCCCAAACTTCATCTGCACATAAACTACTTATGCACCTAATCCTGATTTGTGCCCCGTATCTTTATAAGAAAACAAGTAAAAGAAAAAAAAGACATTGCAACACCATTATCTTAATGACAGTAAAGACACACCAGTTCTATTGTGATGAAGGATTTAGTAGAACCCTTTTTGTTGTTATTTATCTTAAGTACTGTATAATGATGATTTGAGTAGAGCTAGGAGAAATAAATTTGGGGGAGCAATCTTAAAGGCTTATCAATTCTATTTGCAAGTCTCTTTTGAAATGGTTTTAAGCTTTGTAGAAAAGAATCTGATTTATGTTCATAATGTTCCATTTGGTATAATGCCACTTAAATGGCTGCTGTACCCAGAACTGGGCTTATAAACGTGAGCTTTCTAATAAGGGGTATTCGCTAGCCAATCGCTAGAAGTAGGCAGAATGCACACATAATTTTCCTGCCTTCCTTTATGAGGAGTCTAAAGGGCACAGGGGGCCCTCCAGGATACTCACTCAGGGTTTTGCAGATATTACTGACAGCTTTAAAAACCACGGCCGAGAAGCTGACTCGCAACCTTACTGTCTTCACATTTGGCAGGCGAAGGCGAAGCATTTTGTGCTGAGGGGTGAAGAGAAGCTTTGCATCTGCCTGGACCCCATATTTGTCCAGGGTCCAGTGGGTTTTCAGAAGCCAACAATGCTTCTGCTCCCACCAAAGAGCAAAGTCTGACCAGTCTTGGGATATGTCTGCAAAAATAAAAACACAGTTAAGTAAAGTGAGAGTGAGCCCAGCACGGGATGAGTCCAGGCACCCCAGAGTCAATTTCACTGTGTGCAAAAACTGACCTCCAGCTCCCATCTCCTTTTACAACTCAAGGCTCAACAAATCTTGGCTTCTCTCCAAAGTTTCCGAGGCAGGGCAGGAAGAAAACGGTGGCTGAATCTTACCATCATTTACATTGAAATACAGTGGAAGGAACGGAAACATAAAAATTATGTTCATCATGAATGCTAAAGTTCTCATCCCTGTAATCTGTGCTATGGTTTTTATTGGGAAGGCCAAAAGCTTTTGACTTTTGATTATTTATTTTTATAAGATTATTTGTCTTATAGAAATGTATCCTTATATTTCTGGATCACAAAGGAATAGCAATAGTCCCCAAAGTCCACACAAAAGTACTGTGAAACTGACATTCCATTCTTCTCAGTAATGCCCAATTCTTATCAGAGTCACTATATTTCCAGTTTTCAAAGTATATACATTAAAATCAGAGTTGAATGTTTTCTCCCTTTCAATGTCAGCATCAACATAGACTTTTTCCTCTCTAAATGTTGGCATTAAAATAGAATCTTTTCCCTTCCTCAATGTTGGAGTCAATATTTGATTCTTTTGCTAAATTAAGAGCTACCAGTATTTTTTACTTACTTGTTATTTTTCTTTCTTTCTTTTGAGTTGGAGTCTCACTCTGTTGCCCAGTCTGGAAGTGGAGTAGCATGCTCAAGGCTATCACATCCTTGACCTGTTGGGCTCAGGCGATCCTTCCACCTTAGTCTCCCGAGCAGCTGGAACTACAGGTGCACATCACCAGGCCTGGCTAATTTTTTGATTTATTGTAGAGATAAGGTCTTGCCAAGTTACCTAGGCTGGTCTTGAAACCCTGGGCTGAGGCAATTCTCTCGCCTCTACCTCCCAAAGTGCTGGGATTACAGGTGTGGACCACTGTGCTCAGCTTATTTATTTATTTTTTGTAGGGATAAGGTCTCACTATGTTACCTAGGCTGGACTCAAACTCCTAGGCTCAAGCAATCCTCTCACCTTGGCCTTTTATTTTTCTTTAAGTGGTTTCTCTCTAGCTCTCTTTTAAAATTAAAAAACCTTTCTCTCAATGCTATTAGTAGACATATAAATTGGTAACACTATTTTGGAAAACTCTATAAATCAGCATTTTCTCTTTGAGCTATATAAACCAAAAGAAATGATCACCAAAAGTCATGGATTATAGCAGCCTTATCTGTAAGAGCTTAAAAACAAAAACAACCAAATGTCCATCAAGAGGTAAATGGGTGAGGCATGGTGACTCATGCCTATAATCCTAGCACTTTGGGAGGCCGAGGTGGGAGGATTGCTTGAGCCTAGGAATTTGAGACCAACCTAGGTAACACAGTGAGACCTTATCCCTACAAAAAAAATTTTAAAAATGAGTTGAGCATGGTGGCACATGCCAGTAGTCCCAGCTACTCATGAGGCTGAGGCAGGAGGATTGCTTGAAACCAGGAGGTCAATGCTGTAGTGAGCCATGATCATGCCACTGCACTCCAGCCTAGGTGACAGAGTGAAACCCTGACTCAAAAAAAAAAAAAAAAGAAAAAGGGTAAATGGACAAATAACGTGTGGCATTTATACGATAGAATATTATATAGCAATGAAGATAAATGAGGCGAAACTATATACAACAAAATGGTTAAATATCAGAGACACAATGTCGAGTGAAAGAAAGCAGAAGTATGAGTGTACCCTGTATAATTTTATTTATATAAAGTTCAAACCATGCAAATTATTTCTATGGTGTTAGAAGTCAGGATCGTGGTTTCCTTGGGTGGAGTGGCAACTTGGAAGTGTCAGGCATGGGGTTTTCCAGGGGAATAGGTAATCTTCTATATCTTTATCTGGGTGAATAATTTATATGGTTAGTGTACTTTTCTGTATATATTATACTTCAATAAAGACTTACTTTAAAAAAGTTATGATTATAGGAAAGTTATGAGTAAATGAAAGCCAGCACCCAAGACCTTGAATAAAAGGTAAAATAAATTGTAAAGAAAATAGAATGCTATTACATTCTAGTTTGACTGGGTGCAGTCTCAAGCCTGTAATCCCAGCACTTTGAGAGACCAAGGCAAGAGGATTGCCTGAGCCCAGAAGTTCGAGACTAGGCTGGGCAACTTGGTGAGACTTTGTCTCTACAATTAAAAAAAAAAAAATTAGACATATGTGGTAGTGTGTGCCTGTAGTTCCGGTTACTTGGAAGGCTGAGGCAGAAGGATCGCCTGAACCCAGCAGGCTGACGCTGGGGTGGCGGTGAGCCTGCCACTGCATGCCAGCCAGGGAGATAGAGTGAGACTCTGACTCCAAAGGAAAAAAAAAATCCTAGTTTAATAATGTTGACTCCTGTTGTAAAGAATCTGACCCTGAAGACTTCTCTTTCTTTGTTTAAACAGGGAGAGTAGCAAATGGTGGATGTGTGTCAAAAGGCATCTTAACACCAAGCAGACTTTACCACTGGGTAGCAAAGTATTAACAGGGAATTGACACAGTGGTCTAATGCAATGCCACCCAAAGTCATGTCAGATGCCACCAGAATGAATCCCATCTTTGTCGAAGTACAGCATTATGCTTGCTGGAGAACTTCAGTGTGCCACCAAAGACTCAAGTTTTTACAAGGGTAGTTGGATTCAGTTTGAGTTTCCTGCAGGGTCCTCTATTTCTTTCTCTCCTCTGGGAGAGGTTGAAGAGCTTGTTCTCCGGGCTGTTACAAAATGGATGGTCAGAAGAACCTAGATCCCAGAATACCCACTTAGGGGTGATGAAACAGAAAGAGTTTCAAATACAGAGAAACTACAAAGAAAGAGTAACTTACTGATCTGTTCTACTAACTTGAGCATCACTCCCCCAATATGCAGGTCCCCTGACACTCTCAGCAGGATTTCTTTCTGCTCCTTTTCATTGGGATGGTCCACTCGAACCACGAGCTCCCAGGAAGCAGATGAAAAGTCACTGGATGAGAGCATCGTGGCAAATGCTGGTGTCTGCTGAACAAAGGCAGACACGGGTCAGAACGTGAGAAGGAAACGGGAATGTGCCACGAGAACTTGCAGAGCAAAACTCTTATTTGTTTTGTTTTTTATTTTAGCCTCCTCTTCAAAAAGCTCTGCAGAGATCTCAGGACCCCAGAATTAAATGCATCATCTTAACTTTAAAGAACAAAAGTTTTGTAAAAATTATCTCAAACCACCTAAATGTACACATTTCATTTTTCCATTCGTCCATTCCTCCAGAACTACATGGCTATGTCTCTTCTTTGTCTGTCCAATGCTCCAATCTTCATTCTCTTTCTATATTGACTCTTTGTGACTTCTCCTGAACTATTCTGGCAATAGGCAATCCTCCATGTTATCTTTTTTTTAAACATCAACTTTATTAAGGTATAATTTGCATGCGATAAAATTCAGATTTTAAATATACTACAGCTCAATATATTTTGTTGTATGCAACTTATACTTCAATAAAGTTGATTTTTAAAAAGGATGTCATTAAAACCATTATCTCTAATATCTTTAATACATACATATTATTACATTCCTCCCATAACATTGATATCTTCTTGTATGAAAGCTAAAAAAATAATATAAAGCAAAATAATTCCTATTTCAGTCAATATAATATGTAGTTTTACCTTAAATGCACATGATACAGTTCATTGATAATTACTGTCATGTATTTGATTTACTTGAGTTATTGTTTTATATATAAATGTACCAATCAAGTTTTTGGATACACCTTTGGCAAAGATTTAAACACGGAAGTGGCAAACATAAAAAGCTCACTCTTCAACATATAATGGCAGTGTGAACTTCAAATCTGTAGTATTCTCCTCACTGGAAGGGAAGATGCTTAGCAGTATCAAAATTGAAACGTTTCAGGAGGTAACAGGAACACAAGAATCCAAAATTGGCAGAACTTGGATAAAATTTGAGATGATAACTCTATCTTACTTTTAGATAAAAAGAAATGATACTACCGCTCCTGGCTGTTGAAAACACTTAAAGTGCACATCATTTAAATATGTCTTTTTCACCTGACTAGGTAAAGGCAGCCTATGAGAAGCCCATGTTCTCATCTGTTTGCTTTTGAGAAACATCAATGCACTCAAACTCTTAAGAAAGGAGTGCACACAAATCCCCTGAGGATTTTATTAACATGCAAATTCTATTCAGCAGGTCTGGGAGGGGCCCTATATTTCTAATAATTCCAGGTGATGCTGGTCCGGTGCTCACACCTTTGAGTAGCAACAGCCAAGTGAAAAATTAGCTCGAGGACTCAGTTCCTCCCTGCAACCTACCCAAATCAATGATTAAACCGGGGACGATGGTGACATCTGAGGGACACTGTTGTTGCTGTTACTTTTAAAAATAATAAACAATAATTAAACAACCTGTGTCATATCCATTGTGTTCATTTGAAATTGCACAATGAGCAATTTCTTGTAAGCATAAGAAAATCTCAAGATACACTGCACAGATAAATTGAATACTGCAAATCTGAACAGGTTTAGCACAGATTTTATATGTTCAAATGAAATTCAAGAGTTCAGAGGCAGCTCTTGGTGTTTCTCTAGTCAGAAGCATCCAATGATGCAATATATCTACTCGTGATGCACAGAGGCCCGCATGGAGCTCTCCTGCACAAGGAATGCCATGCAGTGATTACATTAGGGACGATGCCTCTGCCCTCGTCAGTTTAGTATGTATCACATGCTCACTGGATGATGAGCATTGCGTTAATTACTGTCTTCTGTTATCTCCTTCATCCTCCCAGCAATTCCTGGGATAATAAGATCCTCGGGGCATTTGTGTGTACTCCTTTCTTAGGAGCAGAAACTCAGAGAAATCAGGCAACTTGTCTGAAGTCACACAGCAAGTTAGATGGCGAAGTCCAGACAAAAATTCTTTCTTTTCTTTTCTTTTTTTTGCCATCTGCACATGGTCTTTATTCTCTGTGTTTCTCTGACCTGAGTCGGGGTTTTGGAGGTTCAGCTTGGGGTATGTTTTTTTTGGCCAATCTCCTTCAGCCCTGGGTTCAGCTGGAAGAGGAGAAGGTGTCTTTTAAGAATTCCCCCAACCAGGCCCCGAAGACGGAACCCACGGAGCCCAGCAGGATGTTGGATGACGTGGAGAATCCAGCTGCGCCCATCGACTGCAGAGTAGCCACCAGACTGCCCACGGCAACTCCACGCCTGTTGGCAACGGCCGCTGCAGACATCGTCTTGGCTGCCAAGAAGGAGGTGGCAATTGCTGCCCCAGTGAAGCCCAGGGCACCGAGCACCACGGGCACAGCCCCCACTGCCAGGGCTCCTCTGACTACAGCAGCAGCTGCCTGTTCTAGAGAGTGAGAGACAGAGATGGAGAGACAGAGACAGATGGGGGGTGGGGTGGGGAGAGAATAGACAAAATCCTTTCTACCTTCAAACTGCTTATCCATCATACTGGGAAACGTTTTTGATATCACCAAGCCAATATGAAAGAAAACTCTCAAAAACCACATGCACTAAACTCTTGGTAGCCCCTGCTAAACATTTATATTAACATAAATCTCTCTCAGTGAAGAGACAATAAAAATATGCTCTACATAGTCAAACTCATAACTTTAAGATCCTTACAACTTTCTCAAATATTATGATTTGAGGTTTAGTTATTCAAAATGCTTTGTGCATAGAGGAAATAACCTTTCTTTTAAGGTGACTCCTTACTGTTTGTTTCACTGGGCAATCAGATATAAGGTCCTCTTTTTTCCACCCTGGGGGATCAAAACACTACTCAAGTAGGCAATAAATGGGGATCCCCTAACAACGAAAATGCAGGCTAAAATTAGACAATCTGGTTTTCCTGCATTCCTTTCCTATCTATCTGCACCTTCACTTGTGAGTTAACTTCTCATCTGCAGCATGCTGTTACTTGTTGAGGAGAAGAGCACACTTTAGCCGGGAAAACATTCCAAGGAGTCCGAGACTAGAAGCAAAGCCGTGCGGGTGGATGCCAAGCTCAGCAGCCCTTCATGGAAAACGAAAGGAAGGAAAGAAAGCAAAGAAAGCAAAGAAAGCAAAGGAAGGCACGAAAGGATCGGGACACGAAAGGAAGGAAGCGAAGAAAGGGAGGGAGGGAGAAAAGAACGCAAGCGAAGGAATTAAAAGGCAGGACGGGATGGGACAGGAAAAGAAAGGAGGGAAGGGAGGGAGGGAAAAGGTGGGAAGATTGTCCCCGAAGCCTCCCCTGGAAGATCTGAGGGTGCTCGGTGTCTGAAGACCCCCTACCTGTCTTTGCCAGCGCTGCAGGAGCCTGGGACGGATGCTGGGTGGACAGAAATCTGCCCCCTTCCTCCTTTCAAGGCAGCCCCCACGGCTAGATGAAAAGTGTATCTTGCACGGCCAGACGCACAGGGCCGGAGAAAGCAGTCACACCCGTTTGAAATTATTTTCAGTTCCAAAGTCATTTACGTGCAAGGGGCTGCAGAAAGAAAAGGCGTCGGCTGCCCAGGAACCACAGGTGCTGTCGACGCCTCCCAACCTGCGGCCCGCAGGCCCAGTCCCTTTGCACCCACCTCCTTTGCAGCAGCCGGCGGCGTTCAGTCTGGCAGACCCGCACGCGGAGAGGTGCACCCCGGAGAGGTCTCCCCGGGCACACCAGGAACGGGCGCTGGCGCCGCGGGGCGTGGAGGGCGCCCGGGGGAGGTGGCTCCGCTGGGCTGCGGCGGGACCGCTGGAGCGAGGGACCTCCCGCGGAGGCTAGGCGCCCGCCCCCAGCCGGCTGCAAGGTCTCCGCCCTGCGCGGCCCCCGCGGTCTGGCCCGGCCAGCGCGCGGCCGGGCAGGCGAGGGCACGCCCAGCCCGGGCCTGCCGGGTCTCGCTCCGACGGGGAGGAGGCGTCGTCCGCAGGTTTTTTTTCTTTTTCCTTTCCTTTCCTTTCCTTTTTTTTCTTTTTTGATTTGGAGTCTCACTCTGTCGCCCAGGCTGCAGGGCAGTGGCACAATCACAGCTCACCGCAGCCTCGATCTCCTGGTCTCAGGCGATCCTTCCTCCTCAGCCTCCCGAGCAGCTGGGACTATAAGCACTCACCACCACGCTCGAGTACTTTTTTTTTATTGTAGAGATGAAGCCTTACTATATTGCTCAGGCTGGCCTTGAACTGGGCTCAAGCGATCTTCCCGCCTCGCCCTCCCAAATTGCTGGGATTACAGGCGTGAACCACCGCGCCCGAACTGCGCAGATTTTTTAAGGGTAAATGGTGGGCGAAGGGGGACTCTGGGGCCAGAGGGCGGGGAAAACCCGGGACGCGTGCTCACCCCTGCAGCGCTCCCTTCAGACTGGCAGCGATGATTAAAGACCTGCCACGTCCCCTGCCCTCCAGGTATATCCATCACTCACTGCCGGGGTGTGCCCAGGCCAGGAGACGCTCACCTTCTGGCTAGAACAGCTGTCTCCCTTGTAAAGAGTCCCGGCGCACCTGTGACCAGCGAGGTGCAGGAAACACAGCGACTCATCTCTGAGTAACAGGGTGATGTAAATTCCCCAGCAGGGCGAGACGGCCCCAGGCCCAAGTCAGGACCGCGCCTGAGGTGGCTCACTTCAGGGTCACCACCCGTCCGGCTGGCTGGGCCACTAAGGAAGGATGGGCGATCTGGGGAATTTACACAACCTGTGTGAGCCTCTTTGCTTCACACTATACACATTTGTGGAGCGCTTTCTATGCACCAGACCTTTGAGGATAGAGTTGTTAATAAAAGGGACGTGGTTGGCCCGACCCATGATTATGCCTGTAATCCCAAGACTTTGGAAGGCTGAAGTGGAGAGTGTTGCTTGAGCCCAGGAGTTCGAGATCAGCCTGGGAAAAATAGCTAGAGCTTGTGGCTGCCACTCAGGAGTAACTAATCCTAAGGTGAGAGGCTCGCCTGAGCCCAGGTGGAGGCTGCAGTGAGCCATGATCATTGTGCCACTGTACTCCAGCCTTGGCAATAGTGAGACCCTGACACACACACACACACACACACACACACACACACACACACACACACACACGTCATGTCTGCATTATCCAATGAGATATGAGTGAATTGGAGTGGGTGAGCGGTGTGATCAAATTCCACGTTTACTGAATACAAAAGAGTAAAAACAAATACATAGGGGGCCTTGGAAAGTCTCAGCTACTATAGGGTTAAACACAAGCAGATTTTTTTCCTTTGACACCTTCCCACTAAAAATTCTTAGGTTGAATAAGAAAACTGCTTAAAGGAGAAAAGAAGTGGAGTTATTTTTCTTGATGGCTGGTTTTAATTGACAAAACAAATAGGATGTTACCCAGTATAGTTTTCTGTATTAAGTCTTCAGCTAATAAACCTGCTAAAGTTTAGTAACTAAAAAATGGCAATAGATATCCAAAGTGTCCTTTTATTTTCATGGGATCCTTGGGACATAGAAAATGGGAGCTGTGCCAGGCTCGGTGTCTCAGCCTGTAAGCCCAGCACTTTGGGAGGCTGAGGTGAGTCGATTGCCTGAGCCCATGAGTTCGAGACCAGCCCAGGCAACTTGGTGAGAGCTCATCTCTACAATAAATAAAAAATTAGCCGGGTGTGGTAGCGCATGCCTGTAGTTCTGGCTACTTGGAAGACTGAGGCGGAAGGATCGCTGTAGCCCAGCAGGTCGACGCTGGGGTGACTGTGAGCATGCCACTGCACTCCAGCCTGGGCGACAGAGTGAGACTCCAATCTCCCCAGAAAAAAAGAAAGAAAATGGGAGCTGTGTTCACGTATGTGGAGAACACGTTTTGCTCAGTGCAAAGGAGCAGAATATATCTATTAGAGTTATACCCTTTTTCCCTGTTGGATGGATAAGAAGCGCTTTCTGTGCCTAGGCAAGTTCTAAAGTTTTCTCCTTGCCAGGGTGGAAAGGGTGTGTTCCATTGTACAGGGCTGGAAGAAGGAGTATGAGGAAGAGCAAAGAGGAGAGGCTTTTGCTGGGGTTCACACTGCAGGCCACCTTTGAGAATGAGAGAAGGAATATGGTGCCCCCCATCCTTCTCTTTCTTCCTCCCTCCCTCCATCCCTCACTTCCTTTCTGCCTTCTCCTTCCTTACATTACCTCATCTCAATTAAAGGGTACAAGGGAGTATAGAGTGATAATTAAGTCTTCCTCCCACCCCTGATTACTGAGTTCCCTTCCCTGGAGATAATAGTTACCCATTTCCCATGGAACCTTCCAGAGACAGTCCATGCAGGTAGACTTTCTGCTTCGTATGCAAGTGTTACAATTTTATGCGTATTGTTGTGCATTTTGCTTTTCCCACTCTAAAATATCTTGGTGACTGCAGTGGACATCAGTCACAGTCACGGCTGCCAACCATCCTTGGGAAGTCCTCTTCAATGTATGTGGAAATCTTCATGTGTTATTATAGTGTAGAAGTCAGAATTCTAATTCCCAACCTCCCTTGCAGCTAGGCCACGGGCCTACGACCCAGGCTCTGTCATTCAGATACACTCAGGCATGACTTTAATTTGGAAGTGAGTGAGGTTTGAAGACAGGATGTACTTTGGAGCTTCCATCTTTCCTGATGTGGCTGGTGGCAGGGGTGACTATGGTGGTGGTAGTGGGAAATGGCTTCCTGGGAGAAAGAGCTAAGAGAATTAGAAATGGCTGCTTCTGGGGAGTCTGGATGGGAAGGAGAGGGTTATGGGACTGTTGCTTTTAATCAAGTATACGTTTTAATTTGTCAAAATATTTAAAATAAATAATGTTTCAAAAGTTTTAATTTGTCAAAATATTTAAAATAAATAATGTATCACTCTCCTATCCCTCCTCTCCTTCTCCTACTGGGCTAGTGAGAAATGTAATCTTTCATTATTAGGTTTGTATTCTTGACTTCCAGCATCTCATGAAGATCCCAATTTTGTTTTAGAAAAGTCAGAGCTGGCCAGGCAGGGTGGCTCACGCCTATAATCCCAGCAGTTCAGAAGACCGAGGTGAGAGGATTGCCTGAGCCCATAGGTTTGAGACCAGCCTGGAAACTTGGCAAGCCCTCATCTCTAAAAAAAAGAAAAGAAAAGAAAAGTCAGAGCTTTCTGGAAGGGCTCTCAGGACTCCAGTTCCCACTGGTTTCTGAAAGTCTGCATTTTCTCTAAGACTGGCTTGAGGAGATCCCTTTCTTATTCTGAGCCCACTTCGAGCCTGGGTTTTGCCCTGTGGCTCCCAAGGCCTCAGTGAGCCTGCCTCCCCCATTGTTTTGGGAAGAGGAAGGTTCCCTGGGTGGGGTGGGGTGAGGCAACCTCAGCCTCTTAGTAGGAATTGCAGGTGGTACAGTTATTTTCAATCTTTGACCACAGTGGGGGGAAGGGCTTGAGTTCAAGGCTGCAGTTTCCTGGGTCATCAGGTGCCTTTAGCAGTTATTATTTGTGAGGACTTTCTTTGTCCCAGGCACAGTGCCTAGTTCTTTGCATGCGTTGTCTCATTTAATCCCCATAACCTAGGAGAACATCATTTTACAGATGAGGAAACTGAACCTTAGGGAGCTTAAACAATTTGCCCAAGGTTGCCCAGCTTTGAAATGGCAAATTTAGAATTTGAACTTACCCCTATTTAATTTCCAAATCAATGCTCTCAACAGCTCACAGGGCTGTCCACACACACATGCGATGTCTCTTTTGTAATTTTCCAATTCTATCTAGTTCTGATAGATTGAGTTTCTGGCAGTTTCTGAAACTTCATTGCTGTTGTGAGGGCTCTGCCCCTGCCAGGATGCTTCACTTGGCATCCACTAGGGATGGCATGCTCTTTGTCACCTCCCCACCTTTGTTTAGATCGATCCTTCCATCTGGCTTGCCTTCCCTCTTTCTTTCTTCGTGGATAATTACATTCTGTAAGACCTGGCATTGCAGGTGGCGAGGCTGTGGCAACAACTGGAGGAGGGGAAAGTTCAACTTTGAGTGAAGATTGACATTTAGTTACTACATTGAACTGGACTATCCATTACCAAACTGAGTTTCCTTTTTTTTTAAATGACCGTCCATGTCTGGAGTACTTTTCATGTTCTGTGAAGGCCCATGAAAGCTGCCCTGGTTTTCATCAGGAGAGGAAAATAAATACCCCTTCTCCTGTTTCAAAAGCCAGAGAGGAAAACAAGTAAAATGTGTGTGTGTTTTAATTGCACTGTGTGAATCTTGCTTGTCCAATGTACTGGTGATAAATATATTTCTATACTTGATGTGATTGTGGGACTTTATCTCGTCTGGATATACACAATTCATTTTAACCCATTGACTCTTCTGTTCTAAAATATCTCCATTACCCATTCCCCAATCTAAGGCCATGATAAATCTTTGCCTGTGCTTAATTGCTTTCTTTAGATAAATTCTTACTTGGTCAAAGATTATGTGTATTTATTTATTTATTTTTCTGTTTTTGTAAATAAAGTTTTATTGAAACACAGCTCTACAGATTCATTTGCATATTTTCAGGCAGCTGCTTTCCCACTACAGTGGTGATATGAGTCGTTGCTACAGAGACCATCTGACAGGCAAAATCTAACAGGACACTTAAAGAGAAAGTTTGCTGACCCCTGTTCTTCCAGAACACAAAGTTGAAGACAGGAAAAGAGGAGGGGATAAGACCT